TAAAATAAAATAAAGATAAGTAAAAGAGAAAAATACACAATAGAAAAAATAAAGAAAAAAGAAGACAAAAAATAAATAAACAAATAAAGAAAAATAGTGAAGAGAAAAGAAAAAACAAAAACAAAAAAAAAAAGAGAAGAAGAGGAAAAAAAAATCAATTCGATTTATGAAATCTTTTTTAGATTCATGAACTATTTTAAAAAATCAGTTCAATTCATTAATTGTAAAAAAAAAATAGATATTTTAAATACATAACATTTTTTTTTTGGTAAATAAATACATAACAATTTAGTTCACAATAAAATTCACTTCTTTTGATTTTTTTTACACACCCCTAAAAAGAATAAGGGTTATATTTTTCTTATATTGTATAAGAGATATAGAAAATATAAAAAAAAAGTGAATCTTACCTTTTTTTTCTCTTCTCTTATTTATAGGTCTCATTTATAATTTTATGTTTTTAACGAGATCATTATTTTTTTACAACATAATAAATTATTTAATAATTGGAAGAAAAAGACTTCTTTAAGTTTCTTTTGCATTAATGCTTGTGCAGCCTTTTGCCAGGGTAGTCCAAGAAATGGATGCGTCTTCTAGGATGCTACAATAATTCAACGTTCAATTGTATTCCATAAATTTATGGGAAATTATTTTCTCACGTGACATAAGATAATTTTTTTTTCTACACATACATATAAAGAAGAGAGAAAAGATAATATAGAAAAGAGAAAAAATATAAATAGGTCTCATCTCTTTATATGTGTGTAGGAAAGAAATTTTATCTTACATGACATAAGAAAAACAATTTCCTAAATCTATTGATCAAAACCCCGTACTTGAATTGCAAAATAAATAAACAACCAATCTAAGGAGTGTATAATTTGTTTTTAATATATATATATATATATATATATATATATATATATAATATTTCTACTTTTATAAAAAAATTTCTGCCACACTTATTAAAAAATGAGTGAGTTTTATTATAAAGATAAGAAAAAATTAGTGGGGCTAGCCTATTTTTTATAGACGTATGACAGAAAACAAAATTCTGCAACAAAATAATTATAAATATAAACATCCTCTTTTTCTTTCAAAATTATTTTTCTTGTCATAATATTAATTATCTATTATTTTAGTATTTAAGAACAAAAAATTGTAAAAAATTTGCCTGATATGAATTTTTATTAATATTTTTTCCTAAATACTAAAATAATGTAATTTTAAAATTAGGGACGATTATACTTATTATTATTTTAAGCTTACCTTTATTACTACATATTTGGTTATCGTTAAATCAATTTGAAATTAACGATAATTAAATTTTTTTGTTTTTTAACTATTAATTTTAAATTAATCTAACAATAATCAATCAGATAATAAAAGTAATAAACTTAACATAATAGTAGTATAATATCCTCAAATAAAATCATGGTTCATTATGATAAACGCCGTTGTTTTCAGAATTACAAGTGGTACGATGATAAATACTGACTTATACAATTAAAGGAGATAATTTTATTTAGTTTGCCAGGAAAAAAGTCTAAATATACATATATATTTCAAAAGTAAGTAGTAAATATAAACACGGACAACGAAAAAAGAATAATAATATCATCGCGAGAGTGATTATTTTGCTATGTTTGGACAAAAAAAATTATCAGACTGCTACGCCAACAGTAAATTTTGCCAAAATGTCACGCGGCATAATTCGCTACACAATGTAGCGAATTATGTATGCAAGTAATTCGCTACACAGTGTAGAGAAATATGCCACGTCAGAACCAAAAATGTCACATGTCAAATTTTGCAAAATTCGCTACACTATGTAGCGAATTTTGCAAAATTTGACATGTGGCATTTTTGGTTCTGTGCGTTCTGATGTGGCATATTTCGTTACACTGTGTAGCGAATTACTTGCATACATAATTCGCTACACTGTGTAGCGAATTATGCCGCATGGCATTTTGGCAAAATTTACTGTTAACGTGACAGTCTGATAATTCTTTTGTTCAAACATGACACTTTAGTCACTGTTCCAATATCATCAAATAAAATCATGGTTCATTCTGGAAAGCACCGTTGTTTTCAGAATTACAAGCGGTACGATGATAAATAAATTATTGGAAAAATACTTTTCTTTTACTTAAGAATTTTTTTTTTGTCACTCGTATAAAAATGAATATGTCTTATAATTTTTTTTCCTTTTTTTTTATAATAAAATTCACTCATTTTTATGTAAGTGTGACATAAAAAAAAATTACAGCAAAACTAAAAACATTAAACTCGTAAGTGATTGACTTGTGCATAATGGACAGTTGGACACGCTGCTACATCTTCCCCTTTGCAGTAGCAAGTTATTATAATCTATTTGGATTGAGTTCAACAGCTTTCAAATCGGTTTAATTGTCTTTTTCATCTCTTTTATTAACTCCAAATCCATAGTATTTGGCCGTGTCCAAGTGCACAGCAGGTGGCGGGTGCTATGTGATGCGTTTGACATGCGCCCTTAAAAATGTTATGCGAAAACCGTCACTATTAATATTAATATTATGTCCTGTGATTAACACCTAAGCAAGATATTACGAATAATTACGAATATTCATTCGTTTAAATTAAGCAAATTTAAGGATAAGGATGAGCTAGGCAGAGCTTGAAATCTGGAATACAACCCAAAAGCCGGCACATTTTCTATTTTTATTTTTCTATTTCCTTCTTCTTTTCTTCATGCCTGCACTGTCCATCATGGTTAGCATTGACTTGGTTTGCATTTTCTTTTCTAGTTCAAACAATGCATTATTTTTAGCATAAAAAATGGGACCCTTCATTTGTTTTTCTGGGTTTTCAACTTTTCTCTCTCTACATAGGAGAGGGGACCAATCACTGTCTTTTGAGTCAGCACTCAACATATGCACATTGAATTGCACATTGAGGCCGATGGGATACGTTAATACTTAATAGAGAAGTCAAGTTACTATCCAAATCCAATTATGCCAAAAAAGTCCTTTTGGAATATGCGGTGGGTTCGAATTATGGCGTAAGACTATTTTTAGCAGAACTAAAAATTAAGCCAGCATCGTTCTTTTGATTATTTTTTAGGTGGACAAATTCAAACTGTACAAGGAAACGTCGCAGTGTAAGAACCCGTTTGGATTGACTTTATAAAAAAGTTTTTTTGTGTCTTTTTTTAAAAAAAATGTTTTTTTTTTTAAAGTTAAAGTTATTTTAATTTTTAAAAAAATATTTGATTTTTGAAAAAATATTTAATTTTTGACTTCTGCTTTTTTAAAAATTAAAATTTTTAACTTTAAAAAAAAAGCAGATTTTTGATTTTTTTTATAACATACTTTTTTTAAAAACAGGTATTCAACCATTTTTTTTTAAAAGTACTTTTTTTCCTTAAAATAAATAGCTTTTAGAGAATAAAAAAGGGACTCTAAGTCATCTCTAAGCCGGGTACTACTAGGACGCTATAGGAGTTTTCTTTTTTCCGGCCATATGGGGGAATTTCAAAGTAAAAGGAATTTATTTAACTAGCCTAAATTTATTCAATATAATGAAATGTACATTAGACTTATTATTTATTGGATATAATTTTTTTTATTATTATTGTACAGCCAATCACTAATAAAAGGTATTTTAACCAGCCAAAAAATATTTCATTTTCACTATTATTATGCATAAAAAATAGAAGGCGAGTCTTGAGTAGGGTAAAGTTATTCTTTATGATCTAAATATTAAAAATTCGAGTCTAATAAATACCTTATCTACAAAAGTACTAGAATAGAACCGCCTAGTATAGTAGTATGACTAAATACATTTACAGTGTTCATATGACTAAATACTAATGCAATTCTAAAACATCCTTTTGTTATTTTTTGCGCCAAGAAGGCGACAAATTCTATCTAGTGGTGATAGTTAATGCATCCATTCAAGATCGTTAGACTATAACCTTACTTTCCGTTGTAATCACTAGCCATGTTGTGAAAGTCCACAATCTTTAAGCAGAAGAAAAGAATTAGAAGAGAGGAGGTTGTCAATTTCCGCCAACCAAAGCGAGCATGCTTAAGTATTGATTGAATATTTGAAAAAATCCAAAATCAATAGAAAAGGCCATATCTAATGGTACAAAACATGTCAATAAAACCAAATTACATAAAATATAAGAAATAAGAAGGTCAACAAAATTTTATAGCTATGTCATCTTCTTCGGCCAAGTTTTTTACCACTCACTCTCTTTTCATCTTCACTTTCCTATGTTATTTGGCTGGCAAGTTCTGAAGCTGCCTAAAACGGTAACATGTCTTGATCACTCTGTCACAGCTCACCAAGGTCTCCCTCCCCCACTACGTACATAGATGGATAAGAATGGAGATTTTGGACGGTGAACGTAACCGCCCTTTTAGGAAGCTCGCATCTGTGACAGAAACATTTGTAAAAGGAGAATTCTATCATTTTCTTTTTTGAGATGCGATGGCGACTATAGGTGGCCATAGTTTCAACTTTCAACCGTGGCCCCCTCTTTGTAATCATGTTGCAGCCATAGGCAGCTGTACCACCAGTATATTCTTCACACTGAAGGCAAACTAAGATCGAATGGTTTTTACTTTTTAGCTGCAAGTTGTCTGGGCAGAGGAAAAAGCAAGGGGTGCAAATAACTTTGACGTTTGATTAGACATATGAAAAATCAATTTCAGCAGATGGACCATATTGAAAGAAATTAAAATTTATAAGGGTAATAAGCAACAGTTCTTCATTTGCACTTACTGTGGTCATGAATCGGTAAAATCAAGGGTGATTTCGCCATTCTGTTGACAAATCTTGTGCAGGAAGATCTAAAGTTCTGACGTTTTCTGTTTTTAACCCCAGAAAGCTTTTGACTTCACATTAAGAAGCTTAATTATCTGGTTTTAGAAACATAAATCGAACACATGCTTTTTGGGAGCTATGATATTCCAGGAGGGGAGTATATGAGAAATCATCAATACTACAGACCTTGAGTTCCAAAAAAAAAATAAAAAATCACTTCACTTTAAATCCGATTAGTGAGTGTGGGATGGAGGTAATGCAGTCTTAGAGGCTTCGGTCACGAAAGAATACTTTTACCACGGCTCAAGTTTGTCTCTTTTCTTACATATCTTGAGTTCACTATTCAAAAATTAACTTAAATAGTTGGAGTGTCTGAGACTTTATAAATCTTATATTAATTACCTATATAATCAATGTGAAACTCGTAACAGGATGTAAAAGCATGCAGGAGAAAAGATCCGCACCGAAGTGAAGAAACTGTTTCCCAAGAAAAGAAAGAGTGAAGATGTACAGTAAGCTGATAGTGCCTGCTGTGCCCGGAAAGAGTTTCAAAGGCATATTGATGTAAGATACGATCACCTTTTAGTCTCATTCTAGCAGCAATGATTAGCTCTTTTGCGGTGCTCAAAATATATGAGAAATCCCAATAGAAAATCAGGAACCTGATTGAACCAGAAAACAAAACCAAATAGTTATCGATCACGAGTTACCACTTTTGCCTTCACTTTTTTTTATGGTCGGTGACCCAGCTAATTTTAGGGCCTCTGGATATGATAATAAACATCAATAAAACAACATAATAATCATCATGGATGGACAAACATGTTTATATATAATTTCTCTAACAGTATAAGAGTCCCGCTTAGTATTCCTCAATGAAACTAACCCGAGCCAGGACACCATTAAGTTTCACCCAAGCTGTCAACATGTCACTGTTTTTTTTTTTGTTTTTTTTTGGAAATAAGGTCACTGTTTAAATACAGCTTCCTGTTACTGATACAATTGAACATCGTTATTAGGGGTTTGTTTTTAATTGTACGGGCAATTCTTCAGTTATTTCATGATGTATTTAACATGTTGTAATCAGATGTTGTGCGAGGACTAATCTAAACGAATTAACCCTGTCTCCTTCAGAGCTTCACTTGAATTGAATGTTTCCTGGTTCCTCAAATTGAACATCAAATGATTTTGTTTCACACTATAAAATTACCTTGGCGTCTCATTAATTGTTTGTGCCTGATTTGTGTTCCTTTTCGTTTTTTAATTTTGAACTTTTGTTTTTGTTCTTAAAGGGATTGGTTCAAGTAGTACATGCTTGATTCCGTTTGAGTAATGTTTGAGTTCAAATTTTTATGAATGCAAAAAAATTTCTTTAGCCGATGTTTTCAACTTAAATAAAATTATCTCTCGTAGATGATACTTATGATTTAAATAAAATAAAAAAAACAATTTTGGGTGGGAATCCTAAGAAGCTGGTATAGTTTAGGTTTACTCGTTTGATTTAAAAATGGCTCAAACTTTGATGCCCAAAATATATATATATATACAAATTAGAATAAGGTGTAATATAAAAGGGGGAAAAAGAAGGACAAAAAAGAATGATTAATGGATTAGTTCTAGATTTTTCGAGATAAAAAATGTGAGTTTAATTTTAATCTCAATAGTTTTATTTTTCTTGTGTTATTGGTTTTAATTTGTACTCTTTTAGGTTTTAATCTTATACTTTTCATTTAATTCTTTTAATTTTGATTGATTAAAAAATTGTTTTATATTTGTTGTGAATGATTTGGCCTTTTTAATTTTCACTTATTAAAATATTGACACTGCAAGGCACAGTGGTGGAGAAAGACATATGTCATATGATCATAACCATTGAATATGACCTTGGAGTTAAAGATGGTTATTGGTTCCTAGAGTTGCGCTAAGTAGAAGGTTGAGGTAAGCTGTGAAAAAATGAGTGATGGAGGGAGGAAATGAGAGACCAATAGTCAGAGAGTTTGTTTGTGAAATTGTGATTGCGAGAGAATGGCTATAATGACCCTAACTGGTAAATCTTAATTAGAGATTTAATTTAAGAATTGAAATATCATAGTTAGATTCAGAACATGATTTCGAGTATTTTGACTGTAATCATGACTAGGTCATAAACAGTGTCTTCTGCCGGGTATTCTGCATTGTTGTGTAGCAACCGGTAAAGCTCAAAAATGAGAAAATTCAATTTATGCCAAAAAGTCATTTAGGACTAATCAATCTACACGAAAAGAAAGCTTAGGAAGCGAGCAACGTAACCTTAGTTTTAGATCATCAAATGGGTATGTCTTTTGACTGATTTCTCCTCTTCTTAATGCGCCCTTGTTACTGTTCACAGTGACAAAATAGAGATTTTCAAGGTTTGAATGATGAGAGTGGTCTCTAGGTCTTTGTAAGCTCATTTAAGGTATATAACTTGAATTTGGTTGATTAAAATTCAAGATACTATTTAGGTTTTTCTTGATGTTTTATGGTTTCATGGAGGTTTTGTAAATGATGTTTGAATGTGTGTTTCGTTGTGGAAGTTGTTCATTGAGCCTTGTTGTTGGTAGTAATTGAAAATTTATTGAGAATATATGTTGAAATTTGAGAAAATGGATGGCCTATCTCTAATGTATAATTCAGCCTATGTACAATAAAATGAGTAGACCAAGTGTTTAATGAAATGCCAAAGTGATGGTAAAAGTGATGAAAGTTAAAGAAAAATACACGGTTCATATATATATATATGTGTGTGTGTGTGTGTATTCTGTCCAAGAGGAAAAAGAACAAGGAATATCATGCTTTAATATGTTTGAATGTGTGTTTATGTGTTTTGAGGTTGGTTAATGATTATCTACTTAATTGGAGTTATGTGTAGTGAGAAATAAAGGAAAAAAAAGCATGAAAAGATGATAAACACTTATGAGCGCAAATCTGCCCTCATCATAAAATAGGTACAAATGAGGTATTTAGTGATATTTGAAGAAGAGATGATGATGGATATTCGATGTAGTGATGAAGAGAATGGTTGCTAACAAAAGATAGCTTGAGAAAAAGTCATGAACACACCTATATGTGTCATTTTCAACCCTTTAAGAATTAAATGAGTTGGAATTGTATTGGACTTGGAATTATGATTTGTAAGTTATGTTGAGGACATGATAAGTATATGTAAAGTGAGAAATGCCCACTTAGAGTTAGTGGTTTTATGCTAACTAGCTTTGGGGTCCTATACGTAAGTTTGAAAAGAATTAGTATATGACTTGTGTTTGGCATTTAATTGACATTTTGAATTATGTAGTGAATGTTGTCATGAATTCCTCCTCTAGGTTGTGCCTAGGGATTCAGAGTTTGTGGACCAAGCTTTGGAAAGAGGTGTTTAGCTGTCTTGAGTATCAAGTAAGCAATTATTCAGACTTCAAGAAGTAAGCTTTATGTTTAAGGAGTCTTTTTTCCTACTTGTGTGCTCCACCATGGTTAGTGGACTATCGTTGAATTGTATGATTGCATTTGATGCTTTGTATAGATGCATTCATATAGAGCTATATGATAAGATGATATGATTTGTTTTGATGTGATTTCTGTAATGATCTTTGGCCATTGATTATGTGTGCACTGATGTCTGCTTGGGGTTCTCCCTTGGGAACACGTGCATTGATTTCTGCTTGGGGTCCTCCCTTGGAAATGACTGCTTACACCTCTGATAAGATATGTATATATGTTTTGTTCAGTTATGATATTTGTTTATATGATGCCTTGCATACTCTGTATCTGACTTTCATGTAGGAGTGGGCCCAGGGTATGAAGAATTCACTATAAACCTTGAGCTTATTGAGATCTGTTATCTCACCCTGTTTGGGGACATTATTTCAGGTGAACAGATTGTCGGCAAGCCTTCACGGGGCAGGGATACGACCCGTGGATAGAGTGCCTTCGTGGACCGGATCTTAGGTAGCAGTATGCTACTATTATTTTGGAGGATTATTATTTTGCTTTAGTATTCCATTCATTTTGAAGATCATGATGTATGATCCGTTATTTTGTATATGGCCTGTATATGTTTTGTACATGTTTTCCGTTTCAATGCATGTACATTTGTGTATTCAGGCATGTTTATATGATGATGTAGTATTCAGATATACGTAGATGTTAATTTTGCATGCTGTTGGACTTAATGGCACAAAGCCAATTTATGCATGCGCTCATGGATGAGTATGTGATCCTTATGGATATCTGGTATTCCTGAAATCATAGATTATATACATTGTTTATTAGGATACCTTGAGAGTGGGATTCTTAAATCCCCATTTGTTCGTTTTATAGCCGTTATACTGTTCATTTTATAGCCGTTATACTGTTCAATTTTCGTCTCCGTCAAATGAAAAAAAAATAGAATAAAGTTATGCATTGCTATATATCATGTGAAATGGATAAACGATAAATAAAAAGTTAGCTCGTATTTTCGTAAGTTAATGTAAGTTTGTAAGAGAAGTATTTCGCTAATCATGTTTAGTATCATATGTGTGTTAACTGAACCGGCTAGAGACGAGGATGTTACAATGGCAGTAGACAATAGTAAAAAAATAGGGTTACAAAAGTAAGATTAATGATATAGTGACATAAAATTATATTATTTATTATAATAAAATATCAGACCAACTTATGGGCTTTCAAGTCAAGCCTAATTAAATTAGCTTGGGCTTGTTTGACAAACAAGTTTTTTTTTTAAAACTTGAGCCCGTTCTATTTATTAAACAAGTCAGATCAAGCCAACCTTAAAGCAAGTCAGGCCGCTTGGGCCGACCTAACATGAATCTACGAGTAGACCTATTACATATAGTTAAATAAAACAGGCTCATACATAAAAAAAATGCATATTTAGAAAGCAAGTCATATGCTTTTTTTTATGTGTCGGGCTCATAAGTTTACAGGCTGACCTATATCATATAATTTATTTTAAATTAAATAAATAATTTTTTTTTGGTAATCAATTGTTATTTTAATTATTTTGAATAGTAAAGTTATATTATATTATTTTATTTTAATTATTGAATATCTAATAGGCTAACAAGCCTAGACAAAGATATCTGTTCTTAAAATAGAGGCCATAACAGACTTATAATTTGGGTTTATATAAAGCTAACAGACCAGATCAGACCTAAAGTATTTTATACAGACTTATTCTATTTAAGGCAAAGCCTAGCACAACCCAACCTATTTAAACCCTATTTGCAAGTGACAAATAATAGTTTACGCGTAATTTTTTATGGGATAAATAAGAATCATGTTGTAGGTAAAAAATTGGTGTCATGCACTCACTACAAACAAGATAAAATCATTGAATAGAGTGCCTCTTCAATTTTTTATTATTATTTAATTTGTCATTTCTTTTGTAGGAAAAAAAATTGATCTGTTACATGACGAATCGAAAGCCCATTTTTTAAATATACCATGTTATCCCTAGCTCACACGATACTTTTTTGTTGTAAAGAACCAAATAAGCTCAACAATATGACACAAATTAATTCTGTGTTGTGCAAGTGACATATAATAGTTTACACCTAATTTTTTAAGTATACGATGTTATCCCTAACTCACACAATGATTTATTGTTGTAAAGAATCAATTCAACTTAATAATAGTACCCAAAAGGGTAAATTGTTGAATGAAGGTATTTTTCATGATTTATATTGTTTTCTAACACATATTCTCATGTAAGACTCCTTTGAGCTTGAAGAGTTTGAAGTGTAGATATTGCATGTAAAAAATTAATTCAACTCAAAAGCTTAAGCAATCAAGTGTGAGCTTTTTTAATGATTTATATTATGACTTTAATGCTTCTACAATGAATATAGATAACTTATCTACATTAACTCTCAAAACGATGTCATTTTGAGTTAAAAGATAAAAATATTATAATGAGAAATAATAATTATAACCATAAAAAAAATTATAATTATAAAAAAATCTTGATTTCTATCCTAAAATAACATTGTTTTAAGCTCGATGTAAATAATTTTTATATGTTGAAAGAAGAAAAAACAAACCCTTATATTATTGTCTAACACTTGTCTTCAAGATTAAAAGTTATGTGCAATTCCTCGTTAATATTGTCTATTCTAATTGTCTTTCCAGTTTAGTGCTAATTGGAATTAATTCATTTTGGGGTAATTTTTTTTTTTTTTTCAAATCATGCACTTAAAATAAGATTGTAGTACCATTAAAAAAAGAAAAAGGATTAGCGTTACGATTTTTGGAAGGCACAACCGCACAAGCACAAAACCTCGCCAAAAACCTTCAGCACAGAGCAGCAGAGAGTTGTGCTATGGACCTAGACGACTTAGAAGCGCCGAGCCAGGTCCCCTCTCGAGTCTCCAAATTCGCGCCAAAATCATCAAAGCTCAAACCTAAACTGAAATCGGAACGTACACCCAAAGCTGAACCTAAACCCGAACCCAACGCATCATTCTCCAAATCAGAGCCACAGGAATTCGATATAACTGCCAAAAGGAATGAAGATAACGTGGAAACAGGGGCTTCAACTCATTCGAAGCCCGAACCCAACGACACCGTCAAAATGGACGTTGAACCCAAGTTTGAGACCGAAGACGAATCAAGACAAGGCCAAGGCGATCCCATGGATGAAGACAGCGCCGAAGACACAGTCGTGCGCGAAATCGACGTCTTCTTCACACCTTCTATCGATTCCGACACTCAGGTCTGTTAGTGCTTCCGCGTTTCGTATGCGCCATTGCTTGTTCGATTTTGCAATTTTTCCTCAAGAGTCTAATTTTTCTTTTGCGCTTTTTTGTAGTTATACGTTTTGCAATATCCCTTGAGACCTCGTTGGAGACCGTACGAGTTAGATGAACAATGCGAAGAGGTGCGGTTTCTTGATTTTCTTTAATGTTTTGGGAGGAAAAAATGGGGAGTACTGTTAAGTCGTTGTTGTGTTGTTGATTGTGTAGGTCAGGTTGAAACCTGGGAGTTCAGAAGTGGAGATTGACTTATCCGTTGACTTTGAGTCCAAGAATTTTGACAAAGAGTTTGCCAACGAAATCAACTATACGAAGCAGGTCTGTTAATCATCTCTTACAATGTTGATCAAATGATGCCCCTAAGTTAACAGACCAATTGCATCTAATGTCAGCAATAATACATTTGTGTATTTCTGTTGTATGTCACAGTAAGTAAATAATGAAGACATCTTGTTGAATATTCGAACATAGAAGGCTCCGGAACTCATTGACTCTGAAATTAGCTAAATAATTGTGTATTTTAAGGAGAAAGATTCATGACATCTTGTTGGATACACGATGATTTAGAATCCACGACTTCAAGATATATCAGTGCTCCCTGATAAAAATGTTGACTACTCGTTTGATTAATATTAGCAGCCACCAAAATACTTGTTTGCTGGTTATAGTCACTGGTGCTAGCATGAAATAGATCAAGGCTGGTTACTTTTGCTAGCTTTACTAAGAACATTTAAGGAATAAAAGAGGGATGCGGGATGGGATTAGAATTAGCCTAAATTATGCAAGTTTATTGCCTTGTCAGTGTTACTGGTGCATGATAATTGATAACATTTCAATTTTCAACATGTCGATGCATGCTAGTGATAGTGTGTCATCGTTACTTTCAGCTTCTGAGCATAGATTTGGGATTCTTTTTTCTTTAATCTATCTTTTTTTCTTGTGGTTCAATTGGGCAACTTGATGTGTATTCTACGTTAGATTGGATATGCAATGAAATTTTATCTCTTGTGAAAAGCTTGCTTCAATAACTTGCAGAAGATTTGCTGCTTTGCTCTCCAGAAGAACATTGTTTCTTGAAATATTGCAAGCAGTACAAAAACTCTGCAAATGCACTTTTCTGTTGTTGAGAATATGAAAAGCTTGCATGTGTGGCAGATTGTTAATGTTTGTTTATAAAAGGGTATTCTAGGCAGTCGACAACCAACATATAGACATAAAACTTGGAAAAATCTTTATGACATGAATCAACTATATAATTTTTCCAATTTAATAGACCCTAATGCGTCATTTGAGCTTTGATCCATGTAGCTCATCCCACCTAGTGGGACAAGGCTTGATTGTTGTATTCTCTAATTTTTCTTTTTGTTTCTTGACATATTACACCTTTTCGTGTGTTGAATTGCCTGACAAACTTTTAACATATAGTAATATTCAAAATTGAGTGCTTTGTTTGTTCACTTGTGACTTTTCGTAGAAAAGTATTACATATTATAACTTGTATGGTATAATACTTTTAATTTTATTCAGACTTTATCAACTTCGTGGAAGCCACCTCGTGCAAATGGCTGTGCTGTCGGTCTTCTTATGGGTGATAAGGTACTTATGCCTTCCATTCTATTCTGTGATATCTAATTTAGTTTCAGGGTAATAGATTGTGTGAACAGCATTGTGTTAGGTATGCCATTGCAATGTGGAAGACCGTTGTCCTATTTATTGAGCACTTAATACTTCTTCCAATAAATTAGGATGGGCGCTTTCACTGAAAATACTCCTGAGGATAGTTTCTTCTTGTTTTAGATGACATATATCTTATTCAGGTTTTGAAGAGAAGTAGGAGCAATTACTTAATGTGTTTCTTAATGAAAAGCTAATGTAGCAAGGATTGTGTTGCAAGGTAAGCTTCCATAAGGTGTTAAAATGGGGAAAGTGAGGAAGATTAAAGACGAATCATGCCTTCAAATTAACTTGGCTGCACCCCACCCCCCCGCGGCGCGCGCACATACCATAAAAATTAAAAGCATTGGGATGCCACCTTAAAAGAAAAAATAATAGAACATGCTCTCGTAAACACTTAACAGGTTATATGTGTTAGATTCTTAGATGATTAACCCAGCAAGCTTGATATACTTTCATTTATTGACTTACTGCTGATTATATACAGCATTTAAAATATTTCAGAGTCCAGACCCATTATGTTTCTTCTAGTACCTGTCTGCAACTTTGTCATTTATAGATGTCTTCTTGTTTCTTCTGACAGTTTGACGGTTTTATGAATTATATTGTTGTGAATCTTGTGATGCTCAGGTTAATTGTTTAATTTGGAGAAATTTGTAAATTTGCCTGCCTCTTTTCTGGATTGCAGTTACACCTGCATCCTATTCATGCAGTTGTGCAGCTCCGACCATCACCACGACATTTTAATTCTGGTGGTTCAAAAAGGAAGAACGTTATCTCCACTGGTGCAAATGCTACTGTCAAAGTTGAGGGGTCAATTGAAGAAAAGTCTGTTGCTACATCAAAGAAACTGGTATCATGTATTCAGTTCATTTATGTATATGTTATTTTATTACAGCAATCTAGTGAAGATTACACAAGTACAAGTTGCACTTTTACAGGATGGCTCTGATGTCTTGACAATCTTGAAATAATTTCTTGTACTTTTTAGACTGATAAAATGGTGTGTTTGAGTTGAATCAAATTTTATGTTGCTTTACAGGAATCTGAATCTAAATGAAATGTAGGTTTAGTAAATCTCATATAGGCATGTCTGCTTGGTGATTGTACTCACCTCCCCCTAAAAAAACGCCAAATAATGTTTTGATTGCTATTGTATGCTGAGGGGAACATTGACTTTGCTGTTCATAAATTGCTCAATTTTATCTTTAGTAGTTAGCATCTTGGTTCCATTTGTGCCAAATTTGCTTGAAATTAGAGGGACATTTTGATATCCCATCAGAAGGCGAGCTCAAAGCTGTCTTTTTGCAGGGTCACTAAATCTTTATTTCAAAGTTTTACTATTTATTTGTTTTCTTCTGCTTGTACTCCATCAAGGCATATTTGGTAATTTCCAAATAGCTAATTGATTTCTTTTCTTTGTTGCAGAATAAGCAGTCAATTGAGCAAAAGAGTGATGTTAATGAGGTATAACAGTTGTTAAAACTGCAGTGTAATTTACATATAGCAGTTTTTGGTTATAATGAGGGTTCTGTTATATTTTTAAGTAATCATGATTTTCTTCTGAGGTTCGTATAACATTATGATTCATGAAGTATTGTGAACTATACACAACTATGTCTACTAGTAGTTTTGTTGTTTAACCTGGCATAAGGGAGGTATTAAGTGGATTTAGTATTATTAGATTTTTTGCCATTATTTCTCATTCAATCACATAAATTTTCCACTTAGAGAAGTTGGAACTAGTATTTCCCCCTCAGTTGTATTATAGGGATTGATGGGCCTTATTTGATTTCAAATGCTGACTTAAATATTGGTTGTCTTGAATTTCTTTCTTCTTTTTCTATATCTATCCGTAGAATAGATTTTGTTCGCAAATATGTTTGGGCCCACAATTATCTACTGTCAACCTGAACTAGTTGGACCCATTGGGCCTGTCCCAGCAGATCCCATTTGGGTCACAATTCCTCACTGTGAGTGTTGCCTGAAACATGACATCAGATGCTGGAATTGGGAATCCCACTAGGTGATGCCGTGAGTGTTGCCTGAAACTTGATATCGGATGCTGGAATTCGACTAGGTGATATCGCTAGTTGCATGTAGCTCTTCCACTGCTCTGTCCCTAGAACGTGAATCCTCACTACAGATCTCAGTGGCGTTTTCCTCGGTATCCTGTTTGAAGGAGGTGGAATCCCATTGTGAACAGGGTGTTCATTGGCACCATCTTCTTCCATTTCAATGCCCTGCTTTTGCATTCACCTTTGAAGTATAGAAACTGTTTCTGATAGCTGAATCTTTACTTAAAAAAGAGAAAATCTCTTCATAGGGTTTCCCTTTACAATTGAGCCACTGCTTTGTTTTATTAAACTTACAAATTTGAATAATGTTTTCCCTTCTATCGCACCTACTATTTAAGCTAAGCCCCTGCCTTTCACACTATGACGCCTTATAACTAATTCTATAACTTCCTAACTAAATCCCTAACTTCCTGGGTTCTATCACCAATTGATTTTCCAAACACAACAGAAAATATTTGGATCATGAAATATGAGAACACAATTAATTGACTAATGAATTAAAAGAATGCAGCCTCGAGAAAACAAGGAAAACAGCATAGAGAAATGCTTTTGGTTGAAGTCCTAAAATTTGAAGAAATCCTTGTGGTGGTTGATGTAACCTCAACAGACCAACAGCCTTATTCTTTTAGCTGTGTTAGTTCATGAACTTAAAATTAGTTTTTTTAATAATAAAAAAGATGAGCCACTTCATCACCTTTTTCTCATCTTGATTGTTATTGGATGGGAAGCGGGGCAACTGCAGGATTCTGGTTGAATTTTAGTTGCCAGTTAAAAGAAAGATAAGGCTCCTCTAGAGTGAGGATGGAAAAGTGAGGGATCTCAAGTTCTCAAACATTGATGATAAAAACAAGGGAGTAGATTCTAATATATAAAAAATCAATTCAACCTAAAATTTTAAGCTGTTTGGTGAATGCCATGGTTTTCTATTATATTTCTCTAACATGCCTCCTTATACAAGAGCCTATTGTGTTTGAAGGGTGAAAAATTCACAGGACCACCTGCCTGTGCTAAGAAATTCTATAATATTTAATTATCTTTTAATAGAATGAGGGGCAATGAAGATCAAACTTGTGATCACGTAGTCACAGAGGCTCTGATATCATGTAAAGAACCAATTCAACTAAAAAATTTAAGCTATCAGGTGAAGGTCATAGTTTTATATTATATTTGTCTAGCATAACAAATCCATAGTTTGTTATGCACGTTCATGTATTTTATTATGATATCAAGTATCATCCGTTAATTTTGTCATCACTGGTTGAGATCGCACACTTTTCCATCTAAAGTAAGGGTTCGCTTTAGAATAGCCAAATCCTTAAAAGAATCCTCCAATAATAGTTTGATTTTCTTCAGAAGTTATAGTTCACAAATTCTTATTGGTTTCTCTCTTGACTGAATAATCTGAATAAAGTTTTATAGGTGAAGAAGTCTATTTGTCATGCTGTTGCATGCAATTCTAGTAACCTAGTTCCTAATGGTATGCAGGATGCACCAGCATCAAGTGAGTGTGAATTTAGAAGTAAAGTTGTCCCAATATTCTGGCTTACTTTTAATTATGTGGCTGATTGTAATATTTCAAAGATACCACTAGACAATCATAACTATTTAGGGTTAAGGGCAACAGTAATAGAAAGTTGTTTGTTTAGTTCCCCTGTATTGGGTAGTATTTGGGTTGGGCCTGGTTCATGTAGTTTAGTTGTATTGGGTCTTGCTTCAATGAGTTTATGACAGAAAACTATGGCTTTGTTTGATCCACGTAGCTGACCCCATCTAGTGTGAAAAGGCTTTTGTTTGTTTGTTTTTAGGGTCTAGTTTCAATGTCCAAGATTTCTTATGGGTTTTGTAGTGATATGAAGTATAATCCTTAAGAGGATTAGAGTTTTATTCCCATTTCTTGTAGGATAAGTTATACGAGGTTTAGTACTTTGCTTAAATGATTGTTTTATTTTCAAATAAAATGATCAGAACAGTGACAGGCTCCCCTGTTGGTTGCGCGAGCAATCAATCCATAGCTGTGATGCCTAAGTTTCTTTACTTCTTCTTCTCAGCTAATATTCTGTTCTTTAATTTTCTATGCTACTAAAATCTATTTACCTTTGCAGACAAGAAGAAAAATTCATCAATCAAAACCCTGATTGCCTCTTGTTTCAATTTTCCCTAAAACTCAACAAATCGAATCCTAATTTTTCAGGAATTATTCGCAGCATCTATGCAGCTGCCTATCTTATCTTAAGGGACCTTCAGTTTACCAATTTTCGACTTTTATTTCCCCAACTAAACCCTAAACCTAGCCTATTCCATTAAACTATAAGCTTCTAATGCTTCCGCTATCCTACTTCAGTATGTTAGCTATGATGAAAACTTTACAGTTATGGCCAAAAAGAATGAATGTTGGAAGATAATTATTTCAGTGCTTTCTTCTAAGAGTCATCCCCCCTCCAATGAAGGCATTAATATAACAATATCTATTGACCAAAAAATTTATATCAAGGGAATGTTATTTCCAGTGGAACAATTGGAAACCTTAATGAACTTTGCTAAAAATGTTTACCATGTAACGTTATATAGTTAAATTATTGCTTTTTGCATGAAATGAAGTAAAATAGTGTAATGCACGGATAAAAAACATGTTCTCCTCTGAAACAAAGAATGAATTAGTTCTGTATATTTGCATTTTCTATTTTAGAATTTCTTAATGGTGATTTTGTTCTTGATTCAGTTTTTTCCCTCCTGCTCTAATCAGTCATTTTCTCTATATATTGTGCAGTGCTGGGTTCCTCTCAAATACCATGACTGTAAGAGTGATATCTCCTCTAGATATTTGCAGCAAATGGTGGCCCAAGAAAGTTCTCCAATGAACTTCACAATGAGCGCGTAAGAATATGTCCTGTTATCCTTTTGTACTCTCTCCTTAATGTAAATATGTAAAATTAAGTTTGTAAATCTTTGAATAATTCAAGGTATGACTATGTCACTACACTTTGTCCTGGAGTGAGCAGCAACATTTTACCCAATGGTCCTTCTAAAAGGTACTGCCTTCCTTTATTATTAAGCTTATTTAATTTTTGGCCCTTAGTTCTGATTAACAGATTGCCATCTAGCTGTTGTGCAGTATACTTGCACACTTTTTCTTCTGTACCAGCAAATGCATCCATCTCTCTTTTTTTGTTATTCTTTCTCTCCTTGTTTCTGCCTATTTCTCAATAATATGTTTTTCTTATAATGCTACTTTGATTTGTTTATGTGTTTGTACTATCGTAATTGGCTTATAATTTTGACTATCTTTTGAATGTAATTTCAGGTACCTTCTATCATTGCCTGTGGAAGAACGTCTTAAGAAAATGCTTAAAGAGGTTTGTAGCATCTTTAGTTGGAGTGTTGATTTCTTTTTGTTGTTGAGAAAGCGGCATTTAGAGCCAACAGCATTCTGCATCTTGCTTTCTATGCTGGTTTATGGTTGATTGCATTCTTCTTTTTCCCCCCCACTTAGTAGATATTCTCTATTCCTAATTCACTTCTGCTGTTTTATGTTTGTGTGTTAACTTTTAAGCTATTAGTAGACATATTTCTCAGCAAATAACTTAAACATGTGCACAAAGTTCCTCATTTATACTGTGTCAAGCACTGAAGATTCTGCTTTCCATATGAGAAGTGTTTGTATTTTATAATGTCCGAGACGTACTACATGTGTGCATATAGTTAGTTGGAGTAACAAATTTGCAGTAACAGACTTGTAACTGCTCTAGGGTTCTGTTGAAGATTCAGTTAACACAGTTTCCTCCAACTGTCATAACTGACTCTATATATGTAAACGGGACAAAGAGTTTAGTGAGATGAAATAAACATTCACTTCAGTTCAGAGATTTCTCTCTGTTTCTCCTCTTTCTCTCTCAACATTTTCTTTCACTTTCCTTCACTTTCTCGGACGCACACTATTCTATTGTATAAGGCTGCTACCAGGTTTACAAGTAGTATGTCATTGTTATATTTTTAACATATATGCATTAGAATCATTTTGTGGATTATAGTTTTCCTTTTAAATTAATTACTAAAGGATTTGTTGTTTTCATCTTTCTCTCTCTGTTAAAGCATAACCCTCATGCCACAGCAATATCAAGAAAAGAGAGAGAGACAGTTAGAGTGAGGATTTAAACAAGAAAAAAGAAACTGATTATTTTGGTGGTGCATTCAGAACTGAACTGAGTAATATTCCATCTATTTCTGTGTGCTATTTTTTATAACATCTCTAAGAGAGCTCTTTATGACAGGGTTCTCCACTTCATCGTTTCAGTGCTATTAAGCACTTTGCTCCTGAATACTCTGAGGTGGAACTGCTGGATTTCCTGCAGCAGCATGCAATATTGGTACAGGGACTCTGGGCTCCAAAAAGTGCATTGCTATATCCTCAGGGTGGTATGGAAAATTTAGCCAGAGATTATGTCCTACTATTGTTTAGCAAGAATTTGAAAGTTCAGCCTTCCGATGTGAATGTTCGAGGTGAACTTGGTAATCATGTGAAAAACTTCCTCAAGATATATGGCTTGGAAAGATGTGATCTAAGTAACTCTGCTGCAGAACCAAAGTCTTACTGGAAGTTTAGAGAGCTTCCTGATGAGTCATTCAAAAAACTCTATCCAAATATTGTTGAGAAACAAGAACAACTTTTCAAAGGTTTGGAACAACATGTTGCTTGTAATGTTGGAAAACGTAAACTTGGTAAAAATGCTGTAGCAAACCGGAGTGTGAATAGTGAACTTGTTAAATCAGCAAATTCTGATCAACGAGTAACAAGTCCGGGTGGAGTGCCTCCTAGGAAGATGACCATGTCAAATGAAACTCGACATGCTCTGCCAATTGCCCTCAAGAAACTTTTTCAGAATTACAAAGTTTGCAGGTATGGCTATAGAGATGTCTACCCTTTGTTCTCCCATCTCGAAATGATCCCTAAGTGATCATTTTTGGAAGCACAAGTATTGGTTGTTAACTTCACGCAGCTGCAAGGCTTTCATATTTCAACACTTGTGCTCAATGCTAATTTTTTTTTACCAAAATTAATTTCGCCATTGTAACATGCTTTTGTGCTAGTTTGGAGCTCAAAATTAAATGTACAACTTGAAGAACCTATTCCAAGATATATATAGACAGAAAAGAGAAAGCAGAAAAATGCCGGGTTATATTCTATGGGTCATGAATTGAAGTGTGAATATGCCTAACCTGGGTTTTGAAACTATTTCTATTTTTGGTGAGACCGTGAGGTATCCCACACCCTTTGGACGTGTAACTAATCCCATGCAAGTGTCAGTGTCTTGAAACAATTTCTATAAAGGAGTGTAAGGCCCCATGGAAGTGTGCTTTATTTGTCGGGCTGTGGTGCTCATGGCTGGAACCATTTTAGAAGTGTGCATTTTATTTGGGATGGGTTTTTTGCTTTTACTAATGGAGTCAGATCATGTTTTTTATGGTCCTTTAATGTATTTGCTGAGGAATTGGAGATATCTTTTGAGCTAATGTTCTTTTATAGATATGAAATAAAATAAAAGCAATGTTCTATATCTGATTCCAATGCCTTGTTAGTTGGAATTTGTGTATTAAAGGGTTTGTCTCAAATGATAGAGAAGACAACGAGGGATTTCCTGTGGCCATGGGTGGGAGATCTGAAAAGGGATCATCTTATTAGTTGGGATTTGTGTTGCAGAAATGAGGGGGGTTTGAGTCTAGGCAATTTTTTCTCTAAAATTATTGTTTTGCAGCTGAATGGCTGTGGTGGTTTGCTTTAGAAACAAACTCTTCATGGTAATGAGTTATTCAGATTGAATCTGGTTTAGATTGGAATGCGTGGGAATGCCAATCCAGAAATCTTTCCCACTCATGCCAATCCCCGGAAGTTTATCTTTCTGGGCATGCATCTTTATGACCACCTTATCACTTAATCTGGGTGATGGCAATCATGCCCATTATAGAGGGAAATCGTACTACAGAAGTTCTCTATTTTTCTCTTCTTTTTGCGGTGACAATTGTCTTATGCTGGTTCTATTTGTCTTGGCAGCTTCCAAATGATTTGCCAAGGATTGCGTGGAATGGCGGTTGACAAAAGTATGCTTCCAAAGGGGGATTTTAAAATTGCTGTAGATGCAGCTCATAGTCTTGATGGTCCACATGATGAGCTGAAGGCGGTCATAAGTGAAGTTGCCTGCGATATCCATGGTTATTATGTGTTAAAGTCATCACAGGATGATGCATTCAGGTTGTTCCCCATTCACACACAACATGAGAGAAATATTATTTTCTGTCGGAGAATTTTATAATCAAGAAACACATTCCATTTGTTATATAATGCTCAGGACTGTATTGGTGTTGCAGAGATGTTGTAATTGATATGCTTCGTGGAAGTGGACCCAGTGCCAAGCTGAAGAAGGCTGAGATACTTGAAGCTGCAAGGAGAAAACTGAGTAGAGAGGTCACTAGCAATGAATATACCAAGGTAAGTTTTATTCTGAATTAATCAACTCAGCTTGATCTTTTTTTTTTTGAGGTGGCTGAAATATAGTATTTAAGTTTTATCTCAAATTTCGACTAATTTCAATCAACTTATCATGTTGGCATATATATATATATATATATATATATATATATATATATATATATATATGTTTACTAGGAACAAACTAAAAGGAGGATAAGGAATCCTCCAAAGTGGATAAACAAATAGACAAAAAACCTAAAAAAAAAAGGTGCCTCAGTATTGCCCAATCTCTGTACATGTCAGAAATGGCAACTCCCTTAAATTAAACCATTAGCAGAGAACCAAAGAATTGCCATAAATACAACCGAGCTCCATAATATATTGAGAGGCAGTGGGGTACCTTTAAAGATAGGAGCATTCCGCTCTAGCCAAATGAACCATAGGACTGGAAAAGCTGCACATTGCCACAAAGCTTTTGCCTCTTTATTGCCAAAGCCTTCAAATCTAACTAGCGGAATTTCTTCCTGAGTAGAAGGATACCCACACCCAAGGCTACCCCAAAAACCCCCATACCAAGTGTACCATAAGAAAGTAGCCATCTTGTTGCAAGAGTAAGTGTCCAATAGATTTTGAACTATAACAATACATAATGCACAGTAGTGTGAGGCCTACGAATTTGTAGTTGGTTATTTGTGTTAATCCTATTTAGTACTGCCCGTCCAGGCAAAAGACTTTTCTACTCAATGTGTGATGATGAGTTGATTGCCCGAAATAATACATTGCAGATTTGCAGTTGATGAAGTTGAGCTTTTTTTATTTCTGGAGATGTAACTTATTATATGGGCCTGTTAATGGTTGTACCCCAAGGATCTATGACTCCCCGTTGAATGTTTTGTTTATCAAATGCCCCACTAGATTAATAGCATATACAATGACAGTCTTGCATGCTGAATATATATGCTCCATTAGTTCAGTTGCATGGGCTGTTGATCAAGTTGAATTTAATGTTTCATCAACCAAAACGAAAGAGTTAAGCTAGGTACTTGATTATCATATTATAGGCTTTTGACCCGTTATTAAATTAAAAAAAAAGGTCATTGTTGTTGAAATTATAGGGATATAGGTATAGAGGGAGAGAAAGGTATAAAGACGTCATAATATTCTATAATATGACATGATGTGATATAAAAGACAAAATAATAAACCTTATTTATAACCATAGAGGATTTCTAAAATAAGGAAACAAATCATGAAATATAAGGAAATAGGGAAATTATTCCTGAAAGATCATCTATGATATTTTAAACTATTTTAAGATACAATCAAGATATTATACAATATTTTCTTGATTTTCTAATGTATAAAGCCGTTAAGTTTAATACCATTTATGCATACATCCTATATCTCTAGTTCGCTTAGGCTGGCAGTGTCCTGGCATAGAGAGTGAAGGTTTTATTATTTATTTACTTTTTTGTTAACAATGGAACATTGTGAACCCGAACGTGGAAAGTACGCAAGGACATGGTAGAAACAAAGGAACCTGGCGCAACCTGAAAGGTTTCAGCTGGCTTTCTGTCAATAACTAAAACGGAAAGTTGCTTCATGACTTGATCAATTTCTTTTAACGAGATAGTAAAGTAGAATAAATGTTGCCTACATAGTCATATAAGTGAAATTTCAGATAATGATATTAACCTGGAGTGATCGCAAATAAATGTTGCAAAATCATTTGTAAATCAGATTATGTTTTCTCCTTTTTCGTATCAATAAATATTGCTTATTATTCTAATGGGATTTTTTTTGAAACAATTTCAGGTCATGAATGAATTATGTGTCTCAAAAGGTTCTGTTTGGTGTTTGAAAAGCGGTGATGGAAGTATGTAAAGATCTGAGGTCTTGCTGATTGGGTTGAGCGAAAATTATATTGGGTTTATGTTGTTATCCTTCCTTCCTTTTATTTTTTTATTTTTGGGGGGAAAGGATTGAACTGCCCACCTGCAAAAATGAATTTTTGATTTGCCCATCGAATGGAAATCATACGTGCTACTTCTTTCGCTTGAATATAGATATTCGTAATCGAGGTTATTTTATGGGGTATGTTTTTCTCATGTTACATGAGATAACATATCCTTCCTACTCATACATCAAAAGTTGTGCTAGGATTTATTTATCTTTTTACCTTTTTTTTAAAAGAGTGGATCCCACATGTTTTGTGTCTATGGCATGAGAAGTCTCCTACAACATGAGACTTGTATTTCCTTTATTTTATTTATCATTTTTTTTGCATATCTTTTCTTATCACTCTTTAATATCGATATATCAGAATTTCGATTATTTTTTATTTTTTTCTTTACTTTTGAGATTCTGATGTAATGATGTTGGAGAATAATAGATAAAAGTAGCCAGAAAAAAAAAGTAGTTAAAATAATTTATCCCTACTCAAATATACGCATCCTTTTCATCTCTAGTTAAATGATAGGAATTGTACAATATATTTTTTAACCTTAATGATGATCATTAAAACATCGAAAACCTAAGCCCACGTTGGTGAACAATTTTTTTTTAATTTTTTTAAAATATTTGAAATTTTTAAAATCGTGTAAAATTTAATGATGTATGGTCAGCAAGGGTCAATTGTATCAGGACATTAAATTCAAATATTTTGGACGATCTTTGTCTCTTCGTTATACATATAGCTTATGTAGTACCGATACGACACAACATTCCGATACGTCAATCTTAAAAAATTATGAATTTCGACACGTTGTGACATGTTTTAATATTAAATAATATTTTTAATTTATATAGTGTACATTTCATTTAATATAATAATTTAACAAAAAAATGAAATTAAATTAATAATACCCATCAACATGTTATAAAGATAGAAGCTTTAATAAAAAATAAGAACTGGGATGAGAAGGAGATATAATATCAGATAGAGAGATCAAATCATATTAGAGAGAGATCAGAGAGAAGGAGATATAACAAGAGCGTGATAGGAATTGACAACAATGATGCTGAGATGATCTCTTATCTACTTAAGGAAAAAAAAGACAAAAAAATAAAATTGATATGATCATGTGTAAGCTTTATTAATATATTTTAATTTTTTTTTAAAAAAATTACGAAAATGCCATTTGACCGTGTCGAACACGGTCAAATTCGCGTGTCGGAATGGTCAACGTGTCGAAAAAAGTTGACCGCGTGTCCGACACTGTGTCGAAGCGTGTCGCCGTGTCGGACACGACTCTCCCTGTTTTTACAAGTGTCTGTGCTTCCTTACATATAGGGCAGTTCTGTTACCCGAGTTCTATGAACAAATTCATGTAACATAACAGCCTATGCCTTGGGGTTGGGTCAGGAGGGTCTGTTAACACCTTCTTTTTTCTTCTCATCAGAATTATTTCACAAAAACTTGCCATGGTAAGGAAGAAGGGGGAACAAGTACACTTGGAGAGCGCAATACAACGGATAGTTGTATGCTGCGAGGAAAAGCACTTGTCATTCGTTGGTTATTAGGGGCTTAGATTAAATGAAAATAACCTTTCTTTCTCGTATAGCTCCTTTTAGGACAAACACCCCTAGAGAGACAAAAGGTCCGTTTAGGTTAAAACAAAATAGGAAAGCTTGTGTCAAAAAGTTGATATGAAATTGAACATGTGTTCAAAACGTATATATATATATATATATATATATATATATATATATATATATATATATATATATATATATGAAGAAAAAAAATGTTTGTCATTTTAAATGACATAAACTTACATTATTTTAAGAGAGAGATAGACACATAATTTTATTTTTTTATTTAAAATTTAAATTAAAAAAATCAGCCACTTTCTCTCTCCCATGATTTCCATTCTATGTGTCTATCTCTCTCTTAAAATGACGTAACTTATGTCATTTAAAATAACAAACATGGTACCCATGAATGAATAATGGTGCAGGAGTGATTTTTATTTTTATTTTTTTTGGAAAGTGGTGTTTCGTATGACACTATTCGTTTTAACACGGCATAAATTTTTTTAGTATTTGTGTCAACTTATAATCATATTGGACCACGCTATTTACTGGTGTGGTATTTGTGTTGAGCCGTTTAATTCAAATAATTTTATAATTATATATTTATCCACACTTATTTTATTTTTATTTACTAATGTGAGGTTATTTTAATAGTTTCAATTTAAATTAAAAATTAAAAATTATTTGTGTCGTATCATTTCAACCTATGTAGTAAATTAATTGTCTTTGTGTGAAGGATTTTAATACAGATAGCTATTTGTGTGGTATTCGTGGTTATTCATGTTTGTGTAAATTGTGTTGACTCAAACATGACCTGCAAACCCAAATTGCTGCCCATAATCCAGAGATGTGAGTGGAAATAACACTGAATGTTCTGTATCACTATAGATATTTTAATTTTTGGGTTATTAATCAATAATCCTATTATTATTATATTTCAACAATTCAAATGGGGAGAAATAAGGAAAAAATAATATTTTAAGAGACAAAATTTTGGTCACTTATCATCTCAGACTTTATTAAATATTAGAATTTTGGATATAATACCGAAAGAAACAATAAAATTTAATATTTTTGAATTTGCAGAAATTTCAAAAAATTGCACAGACAAATAAAAATTGTTTACAACATTAATTTTCATTTCACTCAATAAATCTATTGCCAACTTGCAAAATAGTAATAGTTTAGTATTTAAGATATCAATTATTAGACACCAAGTATTATTTGTGATTGAAATCAATAGTATTAAGAGTCAGTTTGGATAAGTTTTTGTTTTTTTAAAAAACACTTTTAAAAAAAAATTATTTAAATGCTTACTCTTAAAAAAAGCAGAAGTCATAAAAAAATTAAAAAATTTTAAGTTAAAATTTTATCTTCTTAAAAGAAAAAAGTCAAAATCAATTTTTTTTAAATACCAAATATATTTTTTAAATCTAACTAATTTTAATCTTTATAAAAAACACTTTTAAAATAAAAAAGACATAAAAAAAAACTTTTTTGAAAAGACAATTCAATCGGGCTCTAAGTCATGCTAGTCGCTAGACTCGCATGATAATCAAAATACTGCCATGTGACAGCCCTAATCACATTGAATCCAATGTCGTGATCAATTTTAAGAATTTAGTAAATTATTTATGAACATTCAAAAAAAAAAAAGAATATTCTTTTTTAATATTTTGACAAAAGACCATAGTATTGGAATACCATTTGACGCTGATGAAAGAAGAATTATATGTTATTTTAACTAAAATAAAAAAATTACAATAGTTTTTTTTTTTGAAAAGAAAAAAAAAACACACCAAAAAATATGTAATATTGCAAGTTTCGTAGCGGGTCCCAGGGACCGGGCCTAGGCCCAGGTCGAGCAGTCCATCTACGTCGTCTTCTTTGTGGTCGTGTTAGGGTAAGCATAGTTGCCCTTTTTCCCTTCTTCACTACTTCACATTCACTCTCCACTCACCAGCAAAAATGCCAGTCTATTCAACGTTATAGTATCGTGCGATTCGGTTAGACATTTTGTTCCTTTGAAATTTTTATACTCTCTCTTTTTGCTTATTGGTTGTATCAATTTGTTACAATTTGCGCTGCTTGTTTGTTTTTAGTTAATTTAAAACGAACGCTTGCAAAAAGCCCATTCGCATTTGTGCAGTTTACAAATTTATTATTTAATATTTTTGTTTAATTTCGCATTCATTCTTTGATTATTGCCCCTATTCCATGATTTAATACCGTTTTTCATCCATTTTAGGTGGCTTACGGGTTATAAGTGTGGCTTTGATTTAATCCTAGAACCAGTTGCAGATAGCTCAATAGTCAATACTGAATTCAAAGCAAATGGTAAATTGCCATCACTTTATGATGATAAAATGTATTTTTCCTATTATAATTTGGTTGATTTGTTACTTGATTATTTAACATTTGGTTCTCTCAGCTTCCATTCTGCTTTTCCTTTTGGTTTATTTATTCTTCTGATTTGGGGATGGGTTGTTGACTGAATGTTTGGTGCAACTTATGAACAGGTCCACATGTCTGCATCGCTAGGGCGGTTTAATGAGCTTGTAGCATCCTCCCGTATTGATAGGCTAGTTTCCCTTTTACATTCCAAAAAATCTCTGCCTCTATGGCTTAAGAATGTACGCCACTTTAGCTTCACTGATGACCGTGGTGGCAGCATCAAACAACCCGTGGGAGAATCTGATGACTTTTTTCTTCAACAATCTGACCCAAGTTTTAATGACAGTGGTAGCAATAGAAGTCAGGAGGGATACAATGTTCAACAGTGTTCATCAGAACAAATTCCAAGCAGGCCTTTGAGAGGTAGAGAACCAATGAATCAGCCTCCTCCAGGTTTCGGAGAACATAATAGACGTTCCCATTCCTTCCCTCCAAAATTTGATGACAACCTCGACAGACTTGGTGAATTGGACAAGACTGATAAATCTTCCCAAATTGATCTTGGATTTCAGGGCAGAAATATGGCAGAAACAAATAGGGAAACCAGTCAATTAGGAGACGGTTTCCTTGATAAATTCAAGCTTGGTTTTGATAATAAAACATTAAATCCCTCAGAGGTTGCAGCAAGCAACCAATTTGAAGAAGCAAAGAAGTCAAATCCCAATCAACCAGGTCCAGAGTGTATGCCTCAAGATGCTGATGAGATCTTCAAGAAGATGAAGGAAACTGGTCTTATCCCTAATGCTGTGGCTATGCTTGATGGTCTTTGTAAAGATGGTCTTGCTCAAGAAGCCTTAAAACTTTTTGGTTTGATGCGGGAGAAGGGAACCATTCCGGAGGTTGTCATATACACAGCTGTAGTTGAGGGCTATACAAAGGCCCACAAGGCTGATGATGCCAAAAGGATTTTCAGGAAAATGCAGAGTAGCGGCATTTCACCCAATGCTTTCAGTTACACGGTGCTTATACAAGGACTCTACAAATGTAGCAGTTTACATGATGCTTTTGAATTTTGTGTGGAGATGTTAGAGGCAGGTCATTCTCCAAACGTGGCAACTTTTGTAGGCCTAGTAGAGGGTTTCTGCAAGGAGAAGGGGGTTGAAGAAGCAAAGGGTGCTATCAGAACATTAATAGAAAAGGGTTTTGAAGTAAATGAGAAAACTGTTAGGGAGTTTTTGGACAAGAAAGCACCATTTTCACCCTCAGTTTGGGAGGCCATCTTTGAGAAGAAAGCTCCAAAAAGACCATTTTAAATCTCTTTCAGACTATGTAAGCTTTTATCATAATTCTTTTACTGTTTTGACATATCATTATGTAATTTATAGTTAATTTGGGTGCACCTACTAAAATTTGCAGAAACAGGTTCGACTTGTGAGTTGTTTATTTCTTGATAGTAAACCATGTTTTTGTTTTTAAGTGTACTAGTCCCAAATCAGTTAGTGTTTGAATGATTTCTTTTTTAGTTCTGCAATTCGACTTTCTTCAGTCTAGAATTTAAATTTATTTTGACAGCTTTATTAATAAGACAAATTTTAAGTGGGGCATGCTTTGAGGCTATGCTTCAGGTTAAATGGCTGTGAAATTTTATTTCAAGACTTGGATTAATCAACAGTATTACTAGGCGGCTAAAAATTTATTGTGATAATTCTGTGCCATTCTTCTTTTCTAAGACAAGACTATGCATGCTATCTGATGTTAAGGTTGGCATGTTTTTGCAGATCATGAGATACTCAGACTGGAAAGTCCTGCGGTTTTGGCTTCGTTAGCTGTTATTCATTTGAGTCATCTGACGCTTCAGTTGACGTAAGCCTTTGCTGATATATCTCTGTATATTGGGTTTGAGAAATCATTTGTAGGAATGTAATGTGAGGTGAACCCCTCATTTTTTGTTACTTATTCAGCGCTTGTAGTTTATAAAACTTTATCTGTATTTATGGTTTCAGCTGTATTTTGCTGTGGTTGGCAACAGTTACAACTTGCAAGTAGTCTACACAAAAATGTTCTGTCATTCTTCATTTATTTTATATTATCCTTTGCTAATGGGGTTGCACTGGCTGCTGTTTCTGCCCTCCTTCCGCAACCTCCTCAATCTGCAGCATTCCCACCCATTCCTGTTGATGGGCATCTAGCATGGCATCAACAGCAGCCAGGTCAAATGGTTCCACCACCTGTAATGACCTCACCTCCAGTCCAGCAGTTCAGGCCAACTCGTTGAAATATGCCGCCGCAGCTCACAAGCAGTTCCAGTGCTTCCAAGGCCTCTTCCATCTCCAACGGTAATGAGAAACCACCCACCTCTTTGCCACCCCTCACCAAAACACCTTATTAACAGGGTGGACAACCTTTGACATTTCTCATTTCCTCACTCGTCAATGCTCCTTGAAGTTGAAGGAATACAATTCTTATGGAATGTTCCTCATTTCCGTTCTCTAGAATTCCCCCCCTAATTTACTGAGTTGTAGGGCATTATACTTCCAACTACCATAGTGGGTAGATTGTAAGATAAACATCCTTGGCAATATAAAAAATCATCCGATCAATAAAGCCCAACAAAGAGAGCCGTTTGGGTTTTAGGTTATAATACATTTTTTCTTAGAGGCGGTAAAGCTATTTTACCGAGTGAGGATATTTTAACTACCAAAAATCTCACTACTAATTTACTATCCATTACATCATCATTGGATCAAAGAGAGAGAATGTTAAAAAGTTTTTGAAGGGAGAGAAAATATTAATCTAATGGTGATTAAATAGGTAGTAAATTGGTAGTAGAAAATTTTAGTAGTTAGAATATCCTTCTTCATTTTTACCTTTGAAAATGTAAAAAAAAAGGGAGGAGGGATTGAGAGGGAAAAAATAAAAAAGGTAGGGATAGAAATGGAATGAAGTTTTTATTTATGGGAAAGGGATTATCGAATAAGTGGTGGGTTTGGAGCATGATGAATTTTCCCCTCATAAGGAGAATCCAACATGACTGACTCACAATAAAACCAACGTGATTACCAAAATATTGCCACATGATGACCTTGATTACGAGAAAACTTTCGGTGCAACAGCCGTAGATACTAAAAGGGAAAAGTTTTTTGGACTTAAAAGGAATTATAAAAATAATATAGGTAAAGATGGAAACAGTTTTATTTTTTTTTTAGTAAAAAAGATTACCGAGTTTGGTACTCTCATAATATTAAAAAATTTCCCCTGATTTTGACTGAATCCCATAATGTGATCCACTTCAATAATTTGGTAAAAAATTTCTGAACGTTTATATTTCGATAGTTTTTCTTTTAAATATTTTGGTAAAAACGAAAAAGAGCTGGGCATCTGTGATTGGGATATCATTTCATGCTCATAAAAGAAGAATTATATGTCATTTTTAACTGAATAAAAAAATTTACAAGAGGAACCCACAGTAACCCACCTAAACAGTATATAATTTTCCATTGGTCAACGTTTTTTTTTTTTTTTTGGATAATAAAAACATCAAAAACATGTAATATTACACTTTGCGTAGCAGGTCCCAGAAACCGGGGCCGGCCCATTTGCATCGTCTTCTTCGTGGTTGTGTTAGGCTATGTATAGTTGCCCTTTTCCCCTTCCCCAATTCACACTCACTCACCACTCACCAGCGGCATTGCTATATCGTGCGTTTCAGTACGATATTTGTTCCTTTGAAATTTTTTATTAGATCTCATTTTGCTTACATTATTTGTTTATTGGTTGCATCAATTGTTACAATCTGCACTGTTTGTTTTGCTTTAGTTAATTTAAAAGAATTTGCATTTGTGTAGTTTACAACTTTACTATCTGAAATTTTTATATAATTTATAGCTTTTACATTATTTTTTTCTTCTTATTAGTTTCCACTCATTCTTTGCTTATTGCCTCTATTCCATGATTCAATACGGATTTTCATTCAATTTTGGTGGCTAGCAGGTTTTGAGAATGGCTTTGATTCAATCCTAGCATCAGTTGTAGATAGCTGGGTAGTCAATACTGAATACAAATCAAATGGTAAATTGCGGGCACTTTATGATGATAACCATCTCCTCGTTCTTTTTCCCATTATAATTTGGTTGATTTGTTACTTGATTATTTAACATTTGATTCTCTTAGTATCTATCCATCATGCCTTTCCTATTGATTTATTTATTATTTTAATGTGGAGATGGGTTGTTGAGTGTATGTTTGGTGCAACTTATGAACAGGTCCACATGCCAGCATCACTAGGGCGGTTTCATGAGCTTGTATCATCCTCCAGGATTGATAGGCTAGTTTCCCTTCTACATTCCAAAAAATCTCTGTACTCCATATTAGCTTCACTGATGACCATAGTGGCAGCATAAAAAAACCCGTTAGAGAATATAATAGGCGTTTCCATTCCTTCTCTCCAAGATTTGATAACCATTGCAGAAATGGTGAAGTGGACAAGACAAATAAATCTTCCCAAATTGATCTTGGATTTCAGGGCAGAAATATGACAGAAACAAGTAGGGATGTTATTCAATTAGATGACGGTTTCCTTGATAAATTCAAGCTTGGCTTTGGCTTTGATAATAAAACATTAAATCCCTCAGAGGTTGCAGCCAGCAACAACCAATCTGAAGAAGCATAGAGGTCAAATCCCAATCAACCACATCCAGAATATGGGCCTCTAGATTTTGATGCGTACTGCAAGATGAAGGAAAAATCTGATAAGAATGAGCAGGAAGAAAGTGTTAAATTCTTCAAGAAGCTGGAGGAAACTGGTTTTCTCCCCAATGCTGTGGCTATGCTTGATGGTCTTTGTAATGACGGTCTTTTTCAAGAAGCCTTAAATTTTTTGGGTTTGATGCGGAAGAAGGTAACCATTCCTGGGATTGTCCTATACACAGCTGTAGTGGAGGGCTACACCTTAGCCCACAAGGCTGATGATGCCAAAAGGATTTTCAGGAAAATGCAGAGTAGTGGCATTTCACCCAATGCTTTCAGTTACACTGTGCTTATACAAGGACTCTACGAATGTAGCAGATTACAGGATGCTTTTGAATTTTGTGTGGAGATGTTAGAAGCAGGTCATTCTCCAAATGTGACAACTTTTGTAGGCCTAGTAGAGGGTCTCTGCAAGGAAAAGGGGGTTGAAGAAGCAAAGGGTGCTATCAGAACATTAATAGAAAAGGGTTTTGCAGTAAATGAGAAAGCTGTTATGCAGTTTTTGAACAAGAAAGCACCATTTTCACCCTCTGTTTGGGAGGCCATCTTTGTGAAGAAAGCCCCGTAGAGACCATTTTAAAAATCTTTTAGACTTCGTAAGCTTTTATTATATTTCTTTGGGTGCACATATTAAAATTTGCAAAAAAAGGTTCGACTTGTGAATTGTTTATTTCTTGATAGTAAACCGTGTTTTCTTTTTTAAATGTACTAGTCCCAAATTAATTAGTGTTTGGATGATTTCTTCGTTAGTTCGGAAATTCGACTTTTCTCAATCGAGAATACAAATTCCTTTTGATAGCTTTTTATTTATTATAGATTATGAGAAAAGTGTGTCATTTTAAAGGATAAAAGATGTAAAATTATGTCATTTTAAGAGAGAGAAAGAGATAGATAAAGAAAGAGAGAGTTGAAAATAAAAATAAAAATGTGGATCCCACTTTTTTATGAGAGTGAAAGGATATAAGTTGTGTTATTTAAAAGGATAAACAGTTTTTCCATAGATTATTTTTATAATGATAATGTTTGTTTGTCGAAATGAAACTAGTTCCAATATATTGTGATCCAAATTTATTGGCTATAAAGTCCAGGTGGTTGGGTGGGGGACAAATCCGAAAGTGCAAGTGATAGCAAATACCTTTTGATGCGCTGCAAAGAGGAACACAAGTATGACGGGTTCCATTTGGAACAGCGTATTGTTTGGGTCATGTGTGCAGAATAGATTAGCATTATTTATGTTGTTTTTCATCTATGGATTTGATGATAATTACGTTATTTAGGATATTGATATCTATCTTTGTTTTTAGGAATTTTATCTTTGATTAGATATCTAGTTAAAAGAAATAAATGTTGTTAAAATTATGTATCTAATTTGGATTTATTTAGAATTTTTATTATTTTTTGAGTTATAAATACCCTTTTGGTGTCTTATATAGTTCAGACTTTTGCCTACTTGATAATTGATATTTTCTTTATTAAGAAAGTATATGAAATTTGAGTCAAAGTATTAGACATTTGAGTCGGATGAACATTTCTATTATGTAGGTACCAGACAAGATTCTTGCGTCATATGCAAATCTATGCTTGCAGCAATGCAACTTTGTGTTGGGCTTTTTTAAAAAGCCTTCAATAAGGGATAGACATGGGTTCTCTTGTGGACATTTGCATCAATCATTCTAGACGCAACACCAATTTTTGCTGCAAAATTTAGAGGTAGTTTAGTTTAGTGTTTATTTTTTGGGGTGTTATTAATCTTATATTAAATAAGACAAATTATCTCATGTCATATAGACAAACATGTGAATTCCACCACTTGAAAAAAGAAAAAAAATTAAAAGTAAAAGGCTGCATAATTATCTAGAGGTCTGTAGATAATAATCTCATGTAACATGATAATAGTTTTTTCCTTATTTTCCCTCCCCACCCCCACTTTTCGAGGTCCATCGATAGAGCTGAAATTTTTTAAGTTGGTTTGTGATTCATTATTCTTCATTTTGACCGTTCAGATTATTGGTTGAAGGTATGTATTAGTACTAGAAATTCTGCGAAGTAGAATTCTGCAGCAAGCAGCCACAATTGAAAAAAAATCTATCTCTGAGATGAAAATATTTTAGTATTTCTATAGTACTGAAAACTGGACAAAAGCATTGTACTAAGAACGTTTTGTGAAAGATTTTCCTACTAAAAAGCACATTTAATAAGGAATACCGAACTAATGTGGAGGATTGTCCCGTAGGGTATTGCTACGGGACAGCTAGTCCGCATCGGATTTTACAGTCCGCAGGAGGAGCTGACGACATCTAGTCCCGTTACGGACATTGATGGGATCAGTCCCATTAGGAACTCTTACAACACTAGTCCCGCTAAAAACATTGGCGACACTCCCTTAGATTTTCTTACAAAACTAGTTCCGTCACATTTTGCGTTATATCATATTCAAAGAAAATAAATAAATAAAAGAGAAACTAAAATAATAATGCGACATAGATATTATTACTTAATGTACTAGGCAATTTTAAAAATGTTATATAAGAACAAACTGGGAACCGGCTAATATATCCATTAACCAACTGTAATATCCTTTCAAAAATAAATAAAATCAGAACAGGGACCGCATATATTTTTCTTGTATTTAAATAAAAAATCCAAAATAAAAACAAACCAAAAAATAATAATGATCAAATTTCAAATAAATGGTTCACGTGCTTAACATATTCAACAAGAAGACAGTACACAAACGAAGGCTCTTTCACCGAATAGGGGCTTTTATCTCTTTAATTTTCTTATCTGGAATTTGATTCCTAGTATTTACTAATAGGGTCGTTTAGTACAGCAAGGGCTTCAGCGAGTTTGAGTCCTGCACCCCCTCGCTTGCGAAATTTATACATTTTTTTTTCAAGTAAGTGTTGAGACCCCTCGAAAACTTTCACGGGTGTGCCAAGTGACACAGTTTCAGTTTTTCACTCATTCTTCGTTCCTTGTTCATTCACTAAACATTACAAATTCAAATAGTGAAGTTGCAGTAAAAATATCACTATTCTAATTTTGTTACAGTAAAAATAATAATAAAGAGGGAATAATTAATATGCATCTAAATAGTAATTTTGTCATAGTAAAAATATTTGCAGTAATTTTGTAATTACTATTTTTACTGCGTAGTAATAATTTTGTTGCAATAAAAAAATATTAATTAATGTTTAGAGTTTTTTTTTTAATTAATGAATTAGTGAATTGTTGTTATAATTTTTTTAAATTATTTCTTTTTTTATCCTGACATAGGCATGTGTAATTAATAATATGTAAAGATTATAATAATGTTTAGTGGTTAATGAACGAGTGAAAGTGTTTATGTGGATGACTTTGCTTGCTAAACTTTCAGTGCGCAGCAGAACCAGTAAGTGGAGTGGAGGTTCAAATGTCTGTCCAAGTTGTCCAAATCATGAGGAAACTATTATTCATGTTCTTCGTGATTGTAGACATGCTAGGAAAATTTGGCAATCTTGGTTTACAGGTTCGATACCCAATTCCTTTATGAATTCGAATTTGCAGGATTGGTTGACTTTAAATATCGATAACATGTGGTCCTCCAATAAAGTGAAGGACTGGAGGGATATTTTCTTTACTACTTGTTGGTTTTTGTGGAAGTGGAGAAATTTGGAGATCCATGAAGATCATTTCTGTCATGATGAGCAATCGCAGGCTTCAATTTGGATGTTTGTCCAACAGATTCTGCAAGCCCGAATTTATCAGCGCCGTGGTGATTCCAACGATAGCGTTTGGATAGCCCCCAAGCAAGGGTGAGTTAAGTTGAATTGTGATGGAGCTTCTTCTAGTGGCATGAAAAAAGCTAGTTGTGGTGGTATATTAAGAGATCACAATGGATCCTTTTTGGGAAGCTTCTATTGTAATTTAGGTTCCTGCAATCCTCTTGATGCAGAATTATGGGGAGTGCTGAAAGGTTTGGAACTGCTTTGGGGAACATGATTAAAAAGAATAGAGCTAGAATGTGATTCTAGCCAAGCCATCCAGATGTTAAAGGAGCAGCATGAAGATCCTAGGGACTCTCAAGTCACTAGCAGATTGAGATTATGGTTAAAAGCAGATTGGACTATTCATCTTGTTCATACCAAGAGAGAAAACAACAAATGTGCTCATTGGTTAGCTAAAGCTGGGTAGACTAATAATCTCCATTTCAAGATTTTTAAAGATCCTCCTCCTCAGTTGATGGAACTTATAGTTGCTGATGCTAGAAATATGTCTAGCTTGTTAGTTTCTGATTTGTAATTTCTTTCTGTTTCTGGGGCTTAGCCTCTCTTTATTTACAAAAAAAAAAAAAATGACTAGTGTTTAATATTTTAATGAATGAACCGGAACAAAAAATAAGTGAAAGATTAAGATTATATCATTTAACAAATCCATGTAAGTTTCACAGAGTCGTACACTCACCTAAAAAGAACTTGAGTTCATGTGACACTCAAATTTGCTGGCTTCGCTACGGAACTTAAAAATCCCAAACAATAATATATTTCAATTAAATATCAAATTAGTACGTTTAAAGATTAAGAACCCTAGGGGTGGCCAAAATGAGCCAACCCGTCGGGTTGGTTCGTAACCCGCACAAAACGAGCCGGGTTGGGTTGGCAAAAATGAGCTGCCAGCTCGATTTAGCCCGACCCGAGCCAACCCGGGCTCAAACGAGCCAGCTCGTGGGTTGAACGAGCCAGCTCGCGGGTTACTCTTTTTTTTCTTTTTTCTTTTTTCTTTTTTTTTTAAATACAATGGACTTTACAGATGGATTCTCCACTGATGGACTTTACTATATTGGTCGCTTTTGCATGTCCTTTTTTTTCATGATTGGCTTTTGAGTCTAGATGCTTATCGTTGAAATATATAATGAATTTCTTTTATTTTTTATTTTTTGGCTTTATATACGTTTTATGGTTATCGTGAGTTAGAGTAATTCAGAAAATCATGATAATTGACTCCTGTGATTCGTGGAGTGGTTTGTGTTTCATTTAATGTTTTTGGATTTTGTAAACTACTCTACTTGTAGTTGGACTGCAAAATACAATAATTTTATACAGGAGAACAAACCACAAAAATTAAATTTTTTGAGCCAACCCGCGAGCCAAGATTTTGAGCTAACCAACCCGCGAGCCAACCCACTAGCATCATTTCGAGCTAACTCGCGAGCTTTTTTTGAGCCAACCCGTGAGTTTTTTTACAAGCCAACCCGCGAGCTGATTATCGAGCCAACCCGCGAGCCAACCCTAATCCGGCTCGGGTCGAGCCGGGTTGAGTTTTCTGGCTCGTTTTTTTTTCGAGCCAACCCGACCCGACCCATTTTTTCGGGCTGAATGCGGGTCGGGCCGGGTTGGCCCGTTTTGCCAAACCTAAAGAACCCTTATCTACAAACGAATGTTGCACACATCTCAAAAGATTAACATGATTTAATGAGAAAAAATTGTTTGCCTTGAAATCCGTGCAACAAAAAAGGAACAAATAGATTGTCATTGTGTAAAAATTCTTGTTGGGCGCAAAAGCCCAAAAGAATGTAAGCAGTATATGCATCAAACCCATAATGGCTAAAAATAAAAAACAATAATTAGATAATTTTATTTTATTTTTTATTTTAAAGAAAATGGTAAAAAAATAGTGACAACAGAATCGATGGAAGTGAAACACTGGATAAGACGTAAATCAAACAAAACTTGACCTATTCAAATATTTTAAATAAAAAATAAACGAACTTATCGTTTCAACAAAAAAAATAATTAAACTTTTCAACTTATGGAAGTAACAAATAACGAGTGGCGGAGCTAGCCTACTAAGCGTTCCAATGAAAATTTTGCTAATGCTAAACATTAAATCATTGAGAGTTATTTAATCAAGTTAAAAATATGATTAATTTTCAAATTTTAATTAGGGATAAAATCTCCCAATACAACATGACTCCGCCACTGCAAATAACCAACAAGTAATCGAAACTCTTGGAAGAAAAAAAATGTGTTACTTTAGAAAAAAAGAAATAGATAAGACGAACTTCTTTAACAAAACTTCCTACGTTAGAATCTTGAGTATGATAAACTTTTACAAAGCAATATTATATATAAGGGATAGGTTATTCTACCTACTCCTATCTTGCCTACCTTTTGCCTACCTCATCATTACTGTTGGATTACAATCTAATCCAACGGTTCATATTTACACAATAAAATAACCCTTTTTTCTCATTCTTTCTTCTCACTTCCTCCCACACCGTTTCTCTCTCCTCCCCCTTTCTCTCTTCCTCTTTACTCTATACCTAATTTTTTTTCCTTTATCTCCTCCCCCTTTCTATCAGGTTTATTTTTATTGGAACTTCTTTTTATTTTAATTGCATTGAACCACAGCACCACAACATTATGCGATTCATCGACCACAATATTTTAATTTAAGCATTATGCGATTCATCGAATAATATATGAGGTTTGCAACAATTTGTAGCTCATTGCAGAGAAGGGAACATGGCCATTGAATAACCCTAATATTCCAGCAATTTGGCGGCAGAGTTCATGTTCTCTATCACTGATGATATCTTCCTCCCTGAAAGTAACAATAATCGCATTCTATATTAAGGCAAACCTTGTAGCATCCACTTAACTTGATTCAATCTTTTTTCTCCCTGTAAATCCATAACTGCTTCGCATAATGCTTCCGCGTGCGTTCACCTCGGCAGAGATCAGAGATAAAGGGAAAAAAATTAGGTATAGGGTAGAGGAAGAGAGAAAGGGGGAGGAGAGAGAAAGGATGTGGGAGAAAGTGAGGAGAAAGAAAGGGAAAAAAAATTATTTTATTGCGTAAATATGAACCGTTGGATTAGATTGTAATCCAACGGTAATGAAAGAGGTAGGCAAAAAGTAGGCAAGATGTGAGTAGGTAGAATAACCTATTCCTATATATAATACAAATCTTCAACCTTAAAAGCTTCACTTGAAAGTTTTATCAAAAACGTCTTTTACTGGCAACGTAATAATAATAACAAACAATCACAATACGGCATATAAGACAAAAAGGGAACACAAACAAAATGCATAATAACAAAAGTTCATGATAAATGCCTAAATGCCTAAATGATGATCAAGAAAGCATATAAGACAAAGCATGAAAATTCAAAACCCAAGAATGACCTTTTAAGATAAAACAAAATTCCTAAGCTTCTCAATTCAACCAACCAAACAAATGGATTCTATAATAATCGTATACATGTGGCTGTGATAAATTTAATATAATGAATTATGTATATGATTATAAATATCAAATAATAAAGCAGATTATAATTGTGTATATTTTGTTGGGCCATTACAAAGTCAGTGGAAATGAGGGAATTAGATTCTAAGATTTTTCTCTCTATCTCCTATTCTGAAATTGACGTCTTTTTGTGATAAGAGCATAATGACTAATGAGACTTAACCCCAATATCAATAAGCTAGAGAAGGGACTTAGCCAAATACACTGAAAATAGTTCATGTCCCTTGGTCTGCCCATCATGAAAACCACACTAAAGCTAGCCTACGCAACTGTCCAACTAATTTTAATACTAACAAATGGCATAAGTCAAACTCAACATGATTACAAGGGACTAATCAAAATAATAGAATTGAAATATTCATTAATCTAATTATCTTTAAACACAAAAATAATTAATTAATATTGTTACATAAAGAAAAATATCTAACATATGATCGATTTACATGATTAGGTTGTGAATAATATAACTCCACATGCAAACTGTACGATCACTCAATGGACGACCTTTCAAGAAAGGGAGTAGAAAACCATTTGCCTCGAATGAATCGTTTATTCTCCCTCAATTTTATAATATGTAAATTCCATTAGACATCAAACAAGAGTTAAACATATGGACCGAATTTAGAGAACACTTATCAACTCTTCTCTATCTCTATCTGTACCACATTAACTGATCAAACCCCCCAGCGCGTGAGCTTCACCGTACATTCGATTTTGTGCCTCAGTTACTCAGTACTACCGAGCCAATAAAAGGATGTAGTAAGTTCCATAAGAATACTCTGCACTAATTACCTTTCTAATCACGTTGAAGACACATTTCTAGAGAGTTTTAGAAACTACTAAGGTTAAAGAGGCAGCCTTTAATTAAAATAACAATAATGATAATATGTGTCAAAAAATTTCTCAGAAATGAGATAGAGACATTAACCTTTTTTCCTATTATGAAGCAACATTTGCTTACTTAATCAAAATAATAAAAATAAATTATTGACGTCATGGACTGTTAACTTTTGCCAAATTAGAGTGCATCTCTCTATATAAGGGTCATTACATTTGAGTTATTTTCCGATCACACAAACAAGATTGAAAAATGCCCAGTGAAAATGGTACTGGTGAAAATGGGGTCAGTACTGGGCTCAATAAGTATGCTTGTGTTTGTGTGATGACTGCTACTATTATCTCTGCCATATTTGGTTATGGTGAGTGACTTTCTATTCTTGAACTTGTCTCATATATATATAGTTGTCTCTTTGCAAGCACTGATCTCTATGGATTGGAATTTTTATTATATGTCCATATATTTTTTCTTGCTTATAAAGTATTTGGAAGTAGATTCAGGCATCGGTATGTTTTATGACAAATATTTTGTCTTTTGCAGTGTTTAGAATACAAAAGATTTTGTAAAACATTTTCGTCGCGTGCAAAATAACATTACCTATGTCGGGTGAAGTACAAGAAAAAACAGTCTGTTGTAACAATTTAGTTTTTTACAGGTTAAACATTCTTCATTGGGATTTTTTAATATGGTCCTGGATCACGATAAATTTGGTGGTTCTTTACTAAAAAAAATATTTTCTTTTATTTATGGGCTTTATTAATCTCATGCAACAGAATAGAAGCTCTCTGATGTTATAGAGACAATTATGTGTGAGACCCACCCATTTAAAGAAAAAAAAAGAAATAAAAAAATAACAGAGAAATCGATGTATGTGTAGAAAAAAAAATGCTCTCGTACAACATAAGAATATTTTTTAAAAGTTCGAACCTATTTTACTTGACTATATTTAATATGTCGAGTCTCACCTAATATAAGTTTGTCAGGCTGCCTGACTCATTTACACCCCTATATTTGGAAGTAACATATACCCTTCCAAAAAAAAAAAATAAACAAAATGGAAGTAACCCAAAGGGAGAGTGAAAGTTGTCAAATATATATGTATGACCAATCAAGTTAAACCATGCATGTGGAATAGTTTGCGCATGATTTTTGCATTAAACAGACAAAATAAGCTAATAAGAAAATGTTATTGTTCAGTTACGGGAGTGATGGCTGGAGCACTCTTATTCATAAAGGAAGATCTTGGAATCAGTGACGTACAAGTGCAGCTCCTAGCAGGTATCTTAAATGTGTTTGCACTACCTGGATGCATGGCTGCTGGAAGAACATCTGATTATTTAGGTCGCCGCTACACAATCATTCTAGCTTCCATCATCTTCTTATTGGGTTCCATTCTAATGGGTTATGGTCCCTCCTTTCAAATCTTAATGATTGGAAGATGTACTGCTGGATTTGGTGTGGGTTTTGCACTGATTACAGCACCTGTTTACAGTGCAGAGATTTCATCTCCTTCATACAGAGGCTTTCTCACCTCTCTCCCAGACGTTTCCCTCAACTTGGGACTCATGCTTGGTTATGTTTCAAACTACTTCTTTGAAAGACTGTCCCTACAACTTGGATGGAGAATGATGCTGGCTGTTCCTGCAATTCCTTCACTTGTTCTGATCATTCTAATGTTAAGATTGGTTGAGTCTCCAAGGTGGTTAGTCATGCAAGGACGTGTAGGTGAGGCCAGGAGAGTGCTTTTACTAGTTTCTAATTCAAAGGAAGAAGCTGAACAACGCTTGAAGGAAATAAAAGCTGCTGCTGGGATTGATGAAAACTGCACCCAAGACATTGTCCATGTTTCAAAGAAAACTAGCAGCGGTGGAGGAGCTCTAAAGGAACTATTTTGTAAACCTACACCCCCTGTGCGTAGGATACTAATTGCAGCAATTGGTGTTCATGTGTTCCAACAGATTTGTGGAATTGAGGGTATATTGTTATATAGTCCAAGGGTGTTTGAAAGAACAGGAATCACAGACAAGAGCAAGCTTCTGTTAGCCACAGTTGGTATGGGAATAAGTGCATCTGTATTGACATTCATAACAGCATTCTTGTTGGACAGAGTAGGGAGGAGGATTCTGTTGTTGATTAGTTCAGGAGGTGTGGTTGTGACCCTGATAGGGTTAGGTACTTGCTTGACCATTGTGGAGCATTCAGAAGAAAAACCATTGTGGGCAATAAGCTTTACCATTATTGTTACCTACATATTTGTGGCTTTTGTGGCTATTGGAATTGGGCCAGTGACGTGGGTTTATAGCTCTGAGATATTTCCCTTGAGGTTGAGAGCACAAGGTCTTGCTGTTGGTGTGGCTGTGAACAGAATTGCAAATGTAGCAGTGGTTACGAGTTTCATTTCAATTTATGAAAAGATGACAATGGGTGGGAGTTTCTTTGTGTATACTGGTATAACTGCTATGGCTTGGTGGTTCTACTATTCCTTGCCTGAAACTAAAGGAAGATCATTAGAAGATATGGAGACTATCTTTGGGAAAACTTCCAAGTCGGAGATACAAATGAAGACTGAGTGCAACTAAAGTAAACTTATCTTTAAAAATAAGTACTGTGCGTCTCCGTAGATTTAATTTTAGTTTAAAGTGTATGCTGTTCTTAATTCACTACAATTCATTTTTAAATACACGCTTACTTCTTCAGTTTGTAGACAAATTCACTTTAAATCAATCATTTCCGTAGTGTTTCTTGCTAGTTAATGACGGCTGATTATTGCTTTAATTAAGGGTATTTTTATTTATAATATGAAATATAACAAATTTTCTCTCTCTCTAAATAAGCATTATGTGATTTTTCCCTTTTACTAATAAATTAATTCTTTATATTCTTTAAAATTAAATATTTTGTTAGCAATCTTTTATATTATTTTTTCCTTTAAAATATTCGAATTAACTAATAAAATTACAAATAAATACCATACAGCTGTGTTATAATTGAAAGGTTTCCAGTTCGTTTTATCTTTAGATCCAACGTTGAAGAAGAAAGGATATCTTTTTTTGCATACAATACATTGGTCATTTCTTTCCTTATTTTTTTTTTATTTAAAGGAGGTGGCAAATGAAAATAGTCAAAAGAATTGGAAGAATATAAAGTTGTGGGTCCCACCTTTTTGTGAGAGTGAAATGATATAGTTGTGTCATTTAAAAAGACAAACACTTCCCCCCACACATATATATAGGGTTTATGTTTTCTTATGTTACATAGGAGAACAATTTTTCTTGCACACACATGAATAGTTCAAAATTAGTTTTTTTTTTTTTTTAATTACAAGTTGATCTCACATTGAAAATTATATCTATGGTTGGAGATAAGTTCTCTTATGTAACATAAGAAAACATAAACCCATATATATATATATATATATATATATATATATATATATATATATATATATATATATGGGTTCGCCACTTTTGCAGCGACAACATATGAGAAATTTTGCAGCAAACATATTTACATGTCGATCCTGGCATTTAAAAAAATGCCAAGATCCGCATACGTATCCTAACTTTCTATGTGTTGCGATAAAATTTCTCATCTGCAACAACATAAGAAGTATTCAAGCTTATATATATATACATGGGTCAGGATTAGGGGTGTAAGCCTGGCCTAGCCCGGCCTACGTTGAAAAGTAGAGTAAGCTTGAGCTTATAATAAAATTTTTTTAACAAGTAGGCCATAGACCAATTTTGTCAAGCCTGGTCTAAAGCCTTGTAGGCTGGCCTATTTAATTTTTAAAATAAAATAAAATAAAATATTTATTTTAGGGTATATGATATACATTATAGATCTGGGGTAATATATTGTCTCTTTCTTGTTTGTCATTTTTTATGAATTATGAGAAGTACTAGTGCATGCATGAATGGAACTCTGCTCAATATATTTTTATAGTTATTTTTTTTACTATTGTAAAATTTTTAATGCTCACTAGTGAAATTTATATCTTGTGTAAAAAAATGCAGCAATTTATGAACATGTTAATGACTTGTAATGTTAAGCGAATATTTTAAAAATTGTTAAAAATATTTCACTAGGGAGGCCTACAAGGCCTGTAGGCTATATAAGGCTCTCTAATTTTTAAAAATAGGCCAGACTTGATCTATAAATAAAGCCTTTAGTAGGCCAATAGGCCAGATAGGCTGAATGTTTTTTTACGTAGGCTTAGGCCAGTAAGGCCAAAGCCGACCCAACCTGGCCCATTTACACCCTTAGTCAGGATTATTTTAACTCAGTGTAAGTTACACTCTCTATCTTGACCATTGATCCCACATATATCTAAGAGCTCTAATTTTTTAGTAATGTGAGCCATTGGATACAAGTGGATTAATGATCAAGATTGAGTGTAAGACTTCTAATTCTTATACTGGTATAAGAATATCCTATCCCTATATTATATATAGGGGTAAACATTTCTACAGCAACTTTAGATAAACTTATCTACAGCTGCCATTTTTAACTATATTGTCCCGGGAGAATATAGTTATAACGTTAAAGTTGCTCTTTTCTCTCTCTCCACGTCAGCAAAAAAGTTCTGAAAAGTAAATGAGGAGAGAGAAAAAAGAGCAACTTTAACGTTATAACTATATTCTCCCGGGGGAATATAGTTAAAAATGGAAGCTGTAGATAAGCTTATCTAAAGTTGCTGCAGAAATACTTTTGCCATATATATATATATATATATATTATATATATAATATTACCGTGTTTTTTAAAACCAGTTAATTAAATAACATTGCAATTTGAATTTATAAATTCCAGTATACATCAACCAAGAGTTAAACATATAAAACATATACTTATGTTTCTCATGGAAGATATTTAATTATAAGGGAAAACATTTATACAGTTGTTATAAAAAAAATTATATGTCACATATTATGTACTTCGGGGTAGATAGTGTAACTTTTATTTGCAACCCAAGGCCTATGGTATTCCACCCGCTTCTAGCCAAAATTAGGCTAGCTCGAGCCAACCCGACTCAGATATCATCGTTAGGCAGGTCAGGGGAAGTCCATGATGAGGGACCATTATCAATGAGCTAAAGCTACACCACCATATCAAGCGGGTATGACACCTTGTCTCAACCCAAAATTTTAAGGCATTGAGTTCATGAGTTCTCCCACTTATATAGACTTCACTTAGTCCATGGTGGTCCCCCACCATGGGATACCTCTGACCCGCTTGATAGTGGTATCAGAGCTAGGTTAGGCTTGAGCTAGCCAGTTATTTGGCTAGAGGTGATTGGAGTACTATGAGCCTTGGGTACTCGGATGATGGGGAACATACCACTGTTGGATTTCACAGTTGAAAGAGAGATTGTTAGGTTTTTTAAGTGTGACTCATTAAGGCATTGGGTTGAGACATGATGTCAGAACTCTTTGTTATGGGTTTGTTGCTTAGACCTATTTGATGTGTTGATGATAGTCTTCCCTTGTTGAATATCAAGAACAAAGAGATTTATAAGTAATCCGTGTGTTTAAACTACACAGCGGAGAGTCTATTATATAACTTAAAAGAAAGAAAATACAAAGAGACATATATGATGTGAGACTTCTATACTACTATTCTAAACTATCATTTACAACACTCCCCGTCAAGCTGGAGCATATAGATCATATGCACCGAGCTTGTTACATAAGTGATCTATCCTAGGCCCTCTTAAAGACTTAGTGAAAACATCAGCTAATTGATCAGTTGAGTTAACAAAACTAGTGACTATATCTCCAAAGAGGACTTTTTCCCTAACAAAATGACAGTCTATCTCAATGTGCTTGATCCTTTCATGAAACACTGGATTGGAAGCAATACGTAAAGCAACTTGATTATCGCAAATGAGAGATGATGTGCCAATGTCTCCAAATTTGAGCTCCTTCAATAGTTGTTTTAACCAGATAAGTTCACATGTGGTTGTGGCCATGGAGCGATATTTTGCTTTAGCACTTGATCTGGAAACTACACTTTGTTTGTTGCTTTTCCAAGAAACCAAGTTACCTCCAAGGAATACACAATACCCAGATGTGGATCTTCTATCACTAGGGGAACCTGCCCAATTAGCATCTGAGTATCCTTCAACTCTGGTATGACCTTTGCTTTTATAGAGGAGACCTTTACCTGGAGCATTCTTGATGTACTTGAGGATGCTGATCACTGCATTCCAATGATCTTCACTAGGATAATTCAAGAACTGACTTACTACACTGACTGCAAATGAGATGTTCGGTCGAGTAACTGTAAGATAGGTTCAGCTTCCCAACCAATCTTCTATACCTTACTGGATCTGAAAATAGCTCCCCCTGATTTGGCATAAGCTTGACATTTGGATCCATGGGGTATTGACGGGCTTAGCATTTAACAAAGATGTCTCCTCTAGAATGTCCATAGCATATTTTCTCTGGGATATCACAATGCAATCCTTGGATTGAGCCACTTTAATTCCCAAGAAATATCGTAGTCTTTCGAGATCCTTTGTTTGAAAATGATGACTGAGATGTTGTTTTAACTGAGTAATGCCTTAATGGTCATCACATGTAATCAAAGACTGAGTGATCAACCGCACTCCGAGTCATACCAAACTGCTGGACAATGGTGCTAAACCTCTTAAACCAAGCTCGCGGAGATTGTTTGAGACCATACAAAGATTTGCGGAGTCGACAAACTAGACTGGACTCCACTAAATAAGCATTATGTGATTTTTACTAATAAATTAATTCTTTATATTGTTTAAAATTTAATATTTTGTTAGCAATCTTTTATCCTTTAAAATATTCGAATTAACTAATAAAATTACAAATAAATACCATACAGGTGTTATAATTGAAAAGTTTCCAGTTCGTTTTATCTTTAGATCCAACGTTGAAGAAGAAAGAATATTTTTATTTTTTTTTGGTAAGCAAAGAAAGAAAGGATATCTTTAGCACACAATAGCTCATTTCTTTCCTTATTTTTATTTTTATTTTATTTAAAAGAGGCGGCAAATGAAAATGGAAATGAATCCTCTCATATGTAATTTGACATGATCATGTCACGTGAGAAAATCTTAACCATTAATAATTAAATCAACGGTGATGATCGTGTAACTTCTTATCTTTATATTTTTTTCTCTCCTCTCTTATCACCATTAACTCATCCATATATAATTATAATTGCTCCGCATCACCATGTCATGTTAATTAGCACATAAAAAGGTCCATTCCGAATAAAAATAGTCAAAAGAATTGGAAGAGTATAAAGTCGAGAAGTACCTCTCAGTTCTGTAAAATCAATAGGCTCCAATTATTCTCCGGACATTCAGATTTTTTTTTTAAATAGAAAGTTTGTCTTTAGATCCATTATCAGTGTGTTAATAATAGTAATAATAGATTTAAATATATAACAAAAAAGTAATTTTAACTAGATATACTTTCAACTTTTTTTAAGAATATTATAATAGCTATATAGTGTATAATTGATTTTTTTTCTAGTAAAAAAAATACAATCCATTTAATTTATCAAATTTATAATTAATCCAATTTTTTTAATAAAAAAACTAGATTAAAAATATGGGATATGTTATTCTACCTACCTTTGCCTACCATACTAAAACATCATTAGATCAGAATCTTAACTAACATTTATATTTCTCTCTCTTCTTGAGATTCTGATCTAATGGTGTTAGAGAATGATAGACAAAGGTAGACAGAAAAAATAATAGTTAGAATATCCTATCCCTAAAAACATATATATGCTTCAAATTAAATTAAAGTATATAGTAAAAAAGAGTAAACCTTACCAACGTATCGGGCACACTAATAATAACCAATTCAGTCTCTATTGATCAAATCACAATAATGGAATCAAAAACTAACTTTTAAACTTTATCTACAAAATATGTAACCGCATTAATTTGGTTGAGTATATAATAAAAAATATAATAAACGGGAGTTGATACCGTAGCATAAAAAAATTCTCAATTCATGAGAATCAATTTATATATATCAAGCAGAAAGGGAGTATAGTCAGATAGAACAATAATACGCGCCCACTTGAGGAAGTTAACTCACCCATATTAGTCTTGGATTCTCCATCTCTATATAAGTCATTATGCATTAAGATCAACATCTGCTGTTGCAATGTTTCTCTATACAAGTCATTATGCATTAAGATCAATGTTCTGCCTATGGCAGAGTTGTCCAACTCTAGGTTAGATATTTGATATTGGATCTAGTGTCTTCTCTCTAGATACCTATGAATTAGGTATCTTAGGATCAGTGAATCACTACACACTTATGACGGCCTTAGCCCAAGGGGTGTGTGTGCGCTGTGTGATTATGTAAAATAGGGTTAGAGAGAGATCAGTTATATCTGTGGTCTTTAGCTTATATTTATAATGCTTACCTTTGGACTTGCATCATTTGAGCTACCAGTTAATGTGGGCCTTCCTCAGGTCCATAACAATCAACATCTGTCGTTGCAATGTTAGTCGATTATATATATATATATATATATATATATATATATATATATATATATATATATATATATGAGGTAGGATCATTTGACATCAGTGTCAAATTTAAAATTTGACACCTCATCTGAGAGTCGTTAGATCAAAAAAGATCAATGGTGTCACGTGCTTACAAATCAGAGTCGTTGATCTTTTTTGATCTAACGGCTCTCAGATGAGGTGTCAAACTTTAAATTTGACACCGGTGTCAAAGGATCCTGCCTATATATATATATATATATATATATGGGTCAGGATCATTTTACATAAGTTACACTTTCTATCTTGATCATTGATCCCACTTATATCTAAGGGCTGTAATTTTTTAGTAATAAGAGTCATTAGATACAAGTGGATTTTTTTATATATATGTGAGGAAAATATTTCTGCAGCCACTTTAGATAAGCTTCTCTACAGCTACTCTTTTTTCACTAAGTACGACCGGTCGTACATTAAAATTGCATTTTCTCTCTTCGTCACGTCTGCCGACAATGTATGAGGAAAGAGAAAAAAAAGAACAGCTTTATTGTTATCACTAAGTACAACCGGTCGTACTTAGTGAAAAAGGGATAACTGTAGACAACCTTATCTAAAGTGGCTTTAGAAATACTTTTCCCTATATGGGTTAGCTTTTTCTGCATTTACTGCAGATAACTTATCTGCAGTAAGTTCAATACGACGTCGTTTTGGGACAAAAATCATGATGTTCTTGTAATTTTAATTTATTTCAGTGTTATAATAGTCTTTTTATTTATAATTTTTTAAGATTTTAATACCAAAACGACGTCGTTTTAGGAAAAAATGCAGATAACTTATCTGCAGTAATTACGGAAATATTTTTCCCATCTCTTATTTTTATTTTTATTTTTTGATAACATAATCTCTTTTATTCAATTCCATGAAAAGTTCCCTTTCAAAGTTAGAACAACCAAAGGCATCATTACTGCACGGGATTATGCTGTAAAATCTTGACGATTGTGATCACTTTGCTTGATTAGGTTGTGAATAATATATCCAACTTTACATACAGACTACGGAATACTAAAGATATTTTCCAATTTAATTTCCAAAAAAAAGAAGATATTTTCCAATTTAAAGCATAAAACCGTTAGCCTCGAATGAATCGTATATTGAGTATATTCTCTCGACTGATCTCTCTCTTTAATACAAGGGGCACAATTGGAAATTTTTTAATATGGTACAAGATCATCATGGTCCTTCCATTCAGAAATTGACACCAGCACCAAAAAAAATTTCTCCCTCCTCTCTCATCAACCTTTTGTCTCACCTCTGTCCTACCAAATTTTTGTTGCGCCATGAACACACAAATATGGCTCACACAGTCCCAATTACTATATTCTCTCTTTTTTTTGGGTACAAAATTAGAGGTTTTTTCATTCAATCTCTTACGATTACCTTGTTGTCGGAGTACGACCCAAAAGCTATCTTCACAGCGGATGCATTGGACTAGGAAGGATAAGATTAATCCATCACTCGAGAAGAGAAACACGTCATTTAGCTTTGAAAGATTTTCCAAAAAATTTAGACTACATGTGACAATAACATTATATCATTACTTAATCCATATGTTGCTCTCCCTCAATTTTATACTCTGTAAATTCCATTCTACATCGCAAGAGCTAAACATATATAACACGAATATTGGAAGATAGTTAACTATAATTGTTTTTTTATTAAAGGTTAAAATATATTTTTATTTTCTATCTAATACACTCGTTAATTTTTAATTTAGCTCTTATGTATGAAAAAGATTTTCAAATTTCTCCTTGTACATACAATTATTTTTAATTTAATTATAATAATTTTTGTTGTCATAATGTTATTTGTTATAGTTTTCACATAATAAGGTATAAAGACTTAATTAAAAATGAGTATTATGTATATGGATCAGAAATATATATTTTTTATCCTTATATTTCATAATATAATTATGCCAGTATCACAATATTAAGAGCATGAATTCAACTCTGACAATCCTTGGGCATTGAATTCATGTTTTTTAATAAGAACTAAACTAGAAACAAATATCGTAGCTGTATAAGGATAAAAAATATATTTTAACCTTATTTAATTGGAAAGTATAAATCAGTAATTAATCTGGCAACAAAAGGATGTAATAAGACCGATAAAGAATGCCTATCTAATTACCTCTTTTTTTTTTTGTAAACCATATCTAATTACCTTTCTAATCACGTTGAAAAGTCATTTTTAGAGAGTTTTAGAAACAGCTAGGAATTAGGATGTAATAAGACCGATAAGAATGCTTATAAAAATTACCTTTCTGAGAATGAAGAAACGTTTGCTTACTTAAAACAAATAGTTATAATTGGCGTTATGGACTGTTAACTTTACCAAATTAGTGTCTTCCTATATAATAGTCATCACTTTTGAACTCTTTTCCAACCACAAAAGCAAGATTAAAAAATGTCTGCCGAAGATGTAAAAAACGGACACTGCCAACTGCCCGTTGAAAATGGTATTGGTGAACATGGGGTTAGTCATAGTGGACTCAACAAGTATGCTTGTGCTTGTGTAATAGCTGCCTGTATTATCTCTGCCATATTTGGTTATGGTGAGTGACCTTCTATTCTTGTACTTATAAAGTTGTCTATGTGTAATCACCTAAGGACTAGATTTTGTTTATGGGAAAAGTGTGTATAATTTTGAAGGATGTAAAGTTGTGTTATTTTAAGAGAGAGAAAGAGATAGATAAAGGAGGAGAGAGAGTTGACAAAAAAAAATAAAGTTGTGGGTCCCACCTCTTTGTGAGAGTGAAAGGATGTAAGTTATGTAATTTAAAAGTATAGACACTTTTCTCTTTGTTTATATGTCCATTTAAATTTTCTTGCATATAAAGTATTTGAGATTAGATTCAAGCGTCAGATTTTTTTACGAAGAATCTTTTTTCTGTGTTTTTCGTTGTTTAGAGTACAAAAAATTATGGAAAACATTTTCGTTCGGTGCAAAATAACATTTTCTATGTAAGGTAAAGTGTGTGAGTATATATATATATAATATATATAATATATGGAGAAGGATATTGTGACAATCAAGTTGTGTTACTACCAAGTGACTACCAATCAATCTAATCGTTAGATCGATTATGTTGATCCAACGGTTATATTTATTTCCATCTTTGTATGTCATGATTCCCCATATTTAAAGTGAAAGCATTAAATATGAGAAATCATAACCATACAAAGGTGAAAATAAATATAAAGTATTAAATTTGGGGAATAATGACTATACAAAGATGGAAATAAATATAACCGTTGAATCAACATAATCGATCTAACGGTGAGATTGATTGGTAGTCACTTGGTAGTAACACAACTTGATTGTCACAATATCCTTTCCCATAATGGGATCTCATAATATATATATATATATATATATATATATAAACAAAGAAAGAAAGAAACGAATATAAAACCAATAAATATTAAAAAAAATGGACAAGTTTTACGAAAAAGAATCACACATTAGTTCTTGAATTATGATACGAATTTTATCTCTATGAATGTGGATATAAATCAAAAAAGAGGGAACTCCCTATTTTTTTATTTTCTTTCCATTTTCTTCGTTCCTTTTCTTATTCATTTTTGGCGCCTATGATTTTTGCATTAAACTGACAAAATAAGCTAATAAGCAATATTATTTTTCAGTGTAAAGAACTTTGGGATACACTACCCAAAAACTAGCTCAAATGGTGGGAGTGCTCAAGGCCTTATAAAGGTCATATTATTTGTCCATCCAATCAATGTGGGACTATATATCTCAACACGTCCCCTCATGTAAGAGTCCTTTAGACTAGAAGCGTGGAATTGCACAGACCCAATTTTTAGTTTACTTTCTGTGCTTTTTGGAGTGGTGTATCCCAAGATTCTTTACATTCAGTAACGAGAGTGATGGCTGGAGCACTCTTATTCATAAAAGAAGATCTTCGAATCAGTGATCTCCAAGTGCAGTTTCTGGCTGGCATTGTAAATGTGTGCGCACTACCGGGATCCTTGGTTGCGGGAAGAACATCTGATTATATAGGTCGCCGCAAGACTATCATTCTAGCTTCCATCATCTTCTTATTGGGTTCCATTCTAATGGGTTATGGTCCATCCTATCCAATCTTAATGATTGGAAACTGTAATGCTGGAATTGGTGTGGGTTTTGCAATGATTATAGCACCAATTTACAGTGCTGAAATTTCATCTCCTTCCTTCACAGGCTTCCTCACCTCTCTCCCAGACCTTTCCATCAACTTCGGACTCTTGCTTGGCTATTTGTCAAACTACTTCTTTGAAAAATTGTCCCTGAAACTTGGATGGAGGATGATCCTATCTGTTCCTGCAATTCCTTCACTTGTGTTGATAATTCTAATGTTAAAATTTATAGAGTCTCCAAGGTGGTTAGTCATGCAAGGACGTGTAGGTGAGGCCAGGAAAGTTCTTTTACTAGTGTCTAATTCAAAGGAAGAAGCTGAACAACGCTTAAAGGAGATAAAAGCTGCTGTTGGTATTGATGAAAAGTGCACTCAAGACATTGTCCATGTTCCAAAGAAAACTAGCAGTGGTGGAGGAGCTATGAAGGAACTGTTTTGTAATCTGTTGAGATATATAGTCCCACAATGATTGTATGTGCAACTAATGTGGAGTTTATAAGGCTTGGGCACGCCCAACCTTTGAGCTTTTGGGGTGATGTATCTCAAGGTTCTTTACATGCTAAACCAAAATTAAAATTAAAGCATAGAATAGAATGTAAACCAAAAATTGGGCCTGTGCAATATCCATGTTTCAAGCTCAATGGGCTCTCGTGTGAGGGGGTGTGCCCCCACTTTAAAGCCAGTTAAAGTGGAATTAAAATTAAAGCATAGAATGTAAACCAAAAATTGGGCATGTGCAATATCCATGCTTCAAGCTCAATGGGCTCTCGTGTGAGGGGGTGTGCCCCCACTTTAAAGCCAGTTAAAGTGGAATTAAAATTAAAGCATAAAAAGTAAACCAAAAATTGGGCCTGTGCAATATTCATGCTTCAAGCCCAATGAGCTCTCGTGTGAGATCAAAAATTGGGCCTGTGCAATATCCATGCTTCAAGCTCAATGAGCTCTCGTGTGAGGGGGTGTGCCCCCACTTTAAAGCCAGTTAAAGTGGAATTAAAATTAAAGCATAAAAAGTAAACCAAAAATTGGGCCTGTGCAATATTCATGCTTCAAGCTCAATGAGCTCTCGTGTGAAGGAGCGTAGAGTGGTGTATCCAAGGTTCTTTATATAATCCTACCCCCTCCCTATGCGTAGGATACTAATTGCAGCCATTAGAGTTCATGTGTTCCTGATGATCGGTGGACTCGGGGGCAGTGGCGGATCCAGAAAAATAACGAAAGGTGGGCACTCAATAAGGTCTAGTCTTGAACGTGATTTACGAGCAGCTGCTGGCTGGCTCGATCTGGTTTAGATCTAGATCTAGATTAGATTTGGATAATGAAGGTGAAGGAGAAAAAAAACTCACATGAAAATAAATTAGAAAGAGAGAAATTAAAGGTGTAGGATATTGTAACAACCAACTAGGGTTACTACAAATCAATTTCACCGTTAGATCGATTAGTTGATCCAATCCAACGGTTATATTTATTTTCATCTTTATAGGGTTATGATCCCCATATTTAATGTAAAAGTATTAAATATAGAAAATCATAACCATACAAAGGTGAAAATAAATATAAAGTATTAAATATGGGAATCATAACCACACAAAGATGAAAATAAATATAACCGTTGGATCAGCATACTCGTTCTAACGGTAAAATTGAAAATTGATTGGTAGTAACATTTGTAGTAAACTAATTGATTGTTATAATATCCTACTCCAAAATTAAATTGGAAAAACTTGAATTTTAAGAAAAAAAATATTTTTATTTTTACATCATATTTAAGGGTGGGCACTTACCCCCTTCTCTCCTAAGTGGATCCGCCTCTACTCGGGGGTATTTTGATATTTAGTCCAAGGATCTTTGAGAGAACAGGAATCAATGACAAGAGCAAGATTCTACAATCATATCAACAAAATAATATTCACAAGATTCTACAGCCACATCTGGTATGGGAGTCAGCAAAATAATATTCACAATCATATCAACATTCTTGTTGGACAGAGTTGGTAGGAGGATTCTGTTGCTGATTACTGCAGGAGGTATGGCTGTGACTTTGTTAGGTATGGGTGTTTGCTTGACCATAGTGGAGGATTGTAAAGAACCTTATGATACATCAATCTAAAAGCTAACTTAAGGAGTGAGAGTGCCCAAAACCTTATAAATTTCATATTAGTTGCTCATACAACTATATATCTCAACACGTCTCCCTCACACAAGAGCCCTTTGGGTTTGAAGTGTGAATTATGCACGGGCCCAATTTTTGGTTTACTTTTGTGCTTTTTGTTTTAATTTCACTTTAAGGTGGGAGACTCTGATACCATGTAAAGAATCTTGGGATACACCACCTAAGAGCTAGCTTTTGGAGTGGTGTATCTTAAGGTTTGAGATGGTGTATCACAAGATTCTTTACAAGCATTGCAAGGAAAAACTATTGTGGGCAATGAGCTTTACCATTATTGCTACCTACATCTTTATGGCTTTTATGTCTGTTGGTGTTGGCCCTGTGACATGGGTTTATAGCTCTGAGATTCTTCCACTGAGGGTCAGAGCACAAGGTCTTGCTGTTTGTGTGGCTGTGAACAGAATTACAAATGTGGCAGTGGTTACGAGTTTCATTTCAATTTATAAGAAGATTACGATGGGTGGGATTTTCTTTATGTTTGCTGGTATCAATGCTATGGCTTGGGGGTTCTACTATTCTTTCTTGCCTGAGACAAAAGGAAGAGCAATAGAAGATATGGAAATTATCTTTGCGAAAAAATCGAAATGGGAAATGCAAATGAAGAGACCACTAGGGCTAGCCTAGTGGTTGGTGTGTGTGTTAGTGTGTGTGAGTCAAGGGTGTTCTATTCGATTCCTACCAATTCCAAAAAAAAAAGAAATGCAAATGAAGCCTGCGTGCAACAATTAATGCATAATTTAAATAGCTGGCTTTCTGAATGTGATATTAGCTCCCGTCTCCTCATCTAATCCCTAATGGCAATGTGACGCGATTTCTTTTATCAAATTTGAAATTTACTGTTTATACAAGAGTTATTAGATCCAAAAAGATCAACAATTCTAATTTATAAATATGTGACACTATTAATCTTTAACTATATATATATATATATAGGGATTCTATTTTTTCATGTTGTAAGAGATAGTTATCTCCTACTATAGACACATGATGTGGTAGGTCCCACCATTTATTAAAAAAAAAAATAGTAACACAATTTTTTATGTAAGATAACATGAGAGAGTTATCTCATATAAAATGAGATAATAATTTTCCATATATATATATATTTAAAGGGTAATATGTCTCTCCGAGAGACAAAATTTCCCCTTCATTCCCATTCAAATACATAATAAACACTTTTTTTTTTTTTTTTGTTACAGGAGCCCCACATAAAATTTTCTCATTAAGAGAAATTTTGTCTCTGGTTACAAAAGAGACATATTACCTATAGTTAAAATTGAATTTAAGACTTCGCTAAAGTTGATAAACATAGTTATCTTTCAAATTAATTAGACAATTGATATAGTAATGGTAACCTATCTTTACTACTGTTCACGTAGATAGAACCAAATTTTAAACATTGAAGTAGATAATCATTGAGAATGATTCCTTATTATGAGAGTACCTAATTGAGCTTTTTCGCAACAATATCCATAAAAATAGTCTAGTAAAATTTTATAAAACGGTGATAGAGAACTGTGATAGAATTGTATTAAAATAAGGAAATTCTAAACCTCCCATAATCAATATTTGTGGAAAAAAAGTATTTTGTTATATTGTAAAATTTTGTTTGATTGACCACTTTAATATTTTTATTTCTCCATATTACTTTATGCTTTAGTGTTGTATATTAAGCGCTGTTTGTTGATATATAATGTCAAGCTATCAAATATATTTCTAATACAATATCTTAATATCAGAGAAATTAAAATAGGCTAACAACTTGTATCCAAAAAAAATAAAAATAAAATAGGCTAACAACTGATTAATTAGGACACACGTGGTAATGGGCCGACAATATTCTTTTAGTGATAACTATGTCTAGTATAAGAGTTTTGTTGTTAAACCTTGTATAAAGGAGGTACTAAATTTGATTTAATCTTAGATTTTTTTGCCATCCTTTCTCATTCAATCATGCCACTAATTTTTCATGGACTTGTGTCTGCAGGGATTTATGTGCCTTATCTGATTTCAAATGCTGACTTTAATGTTGGTTGTCTTGAAATTCTTTATTTATTTGATGCGTGGATTGTGTTCGAATAAAAATTATAATTATGAACAAATATGTGAATCAATTGTCGCGGATTGTTCTAGTTTAATCACACTTGAAATAAAAGGGTATTTAAAATATTATTGAATCGTATTTGAATCTGTACATAGGGGTCTCTATTTATAGAGACTTCTTCATCTAATTTTGACCTAATGGGCTTGGCCCAATATACAAGTAACGGACTAAATAAATACAAATAAATGACTACATAATTACTAATAAATGACTACATAATTACTATTTAATACAAATAAATGACTACATAATTACTAATAAATGACTACATAATTACTATTTACAACACTCCCCCTCAAGCTGAGGAATAGATATTTATCATTCCCAGCTTGCTAGCAAGTTCTTGAAATCTATCTGAAGGAAGCCCCTTTGTCAATAGATTAGCTAATTGACGCCCGGTGGGAATGTATGGAGTGGTAATCAACCCGCTATCAAGTTTCTCTTTGATGAAATGGCGGTCGACCTCAATATGTTTAGTCCGATCATGTTGAACTGGATTATGAGCTATACAAATAGCGGACTTATTATCACATAGCAGCTTCATAGGTCCCTCACATTTTATTTTTAGATCATCAAGTACAATTTTCAGCCACAGTAACTCACAAATGCCTTGAGCCATAGCTCGAAATTCAGCTTCTGCACTTGATCTGGCGACCACATCTTGTTTCTTACTTCTCCATGTCACCAAGTTACCACAAAGAAACATGCAATAACCAGTGGTAGAATGACGGTCAGTCACGGATCCAGCATAATCAGAATTTTGGCAGACTTCTAAAGATAGATTGCCATCACGTCGGAATAACAACCCTTTACCAGGAGTACCTTTCAGATACTGAAGAATTCTCTCTACTGCCTGCATATGTTTCTCCTTTGGATCGTGCATAAACTGACTAACAACACTAACAGCATAAGCTAAGTCTGGTCTAGTATGGGCCAAATATATCAATTTCCCAACTAGCCGTTGATATTGTCCTTTATCAACTGGAGGACTCTCCTCTTCATAGCCCATCTTGTGATTCTGCTCAATAGGAGTATTAGAGGGTTTACACCCGAGCTTTCCTGCTTCTTTGAGAAGATCAAGAACATATTTCCTCTGGCTGATAAAGATTCCTTTGCTCGAATGAGCTACTTATATCCCTAGGAAATATCTCAGTTTCCCAAGGTCTTTGACTTCAAACTCAGAGGCAAGTCGTGTTTGCAGAATCTGTCTCTCCACAAAATCATCACCTGTGATAATAATATCATCAACATATACAAGGAGCACAGTAAGCTTCCCATTTTGGGAGTGCTTGAAAAAAAGAGTGTGATCTCCTTGACTTTGTTTATATCCTAAGGTCATCATAACCTTAGTAAACTTTCCAAACCAGGCACGAGGTGACTGCTTCAATCCATACAAGGCCTTTTTTAATTTACAAACTTTATTTTCTCCCTTCACAGAATCAAAACCAGGCGGAATTTCCATGTAGACTTCTTCTTGTAACTCACCATTGAGGAAAGCATTCTTTACATCAAATTGGTTTATATCCCAATTGTAATGGGCAGCAAGGGATAACAAAACTCTCACCGTATTCATCTTTGCAACTGGTGCAAATGTTTCTTCATAATCAATACCATAGGTTTGAGAGTAACCTTTGGCAACTAATCGAGCTTTGTATCTCTCAAGAGTTCCATCAGAATTATATTTCAGGGCATAAACCCATCTGCACCCTACTGCTTTCTTTCCAGTAGGTCTATCAATAACCTCCCATGTTTTATTTTTCTCCAATGCATTCATCTCCTCTTGCATGGCTTGAGCCCAATTCCTATCTTTCAAGGCTTCGTGTACTGATTTTGGGATTGCAATAGAGTCTAGTGCTGAAACAAAGCTTTTGTGCTTCACAGAAAGATTAGCAGAGGAAACAAACTGGGAGATAGGGTATTGAGTACAAGAGGGACAGGAGGGACAAGATTTCTTGGGACAAACCCTTTTTCCTTTTCTAAGAGCAATGGGTAAATCATCAGAATCAGTAGTACTGGGTAAGTCATCAGAAGTATTAACATCACGATCAGAAATATGAGATTCAGGACTTACCAGTGGTTCAGACGATTGAGGTTGCTGCTGAGGTGTCATAATCTTTCGTATCTCTGGTGTACTTGATGTATCAATCACAGGAGAATCAGTCACAGGAGGATTACTCACAAGAGGATCAAACACAGGAGGAACAGACAAAGGAGAAACAGACACAGGAGGAACAGGACCAGGTGGAGGATACACTGACATAGGTAAAGGAGTAGACACTGATGATTCAAACTCAAAGAAGGGAGGTGATGAGATTTCTGGTGAAGGATTCTCCCCCTGAAGACGAGAACCATGGAAAAAGGATTCAGATTCCTGAAATGTAACATCCATAGAAAAAAAATTTCCTACTACTAGGGTGATAGCACTTGTAGCCCTTCTTATCAGGAACATAACCAAGAAAAACATATTTAATAGCCCTAGGGTCTAACTTACTGCGATGATGTTTATGAACATGAACAAAAGCAACACACCCAAACACTCGTGGAGGAAGACTCATCATAGTTGGAATAGAAGGGAAAAAAGAAGTCATAGAGTGAATAGGACTTACATGGTCAAGTACCCGAGTGGGTAAACGGTTGGTCAAGAATGCTGCAGTAAGAATAGCATCTCCCCAATAGTATTTGGGTACATGTGTCTGAAACATTAATGCACGAGCCACTTCAAGAAGGTGACGATTTTTTCTTTCAGCAACCCCATTCTGTTGGGGGGTGTCAACACAAGTAAGTTCATGAATCATACCGTTATTTCTTATAAATTGGGAAAAGCTATGATTAACATATTCAGTACCATTATCTGTTCTTAGTCTCTTGAGTTTTTTACCAAACTGGGTCTCAATCATTTTATAAAATTGAAAGAACAATTGTGGTACCTCAGACTTTTCACGCATTAAGTACACCCAAGTTACACGAGCGCAATCATCAATAAAAGAAACAAACCATCTATTTCCAGAACCATGAGGGACTTTAGAGCTAGGGACCCCAAACATCAGAATGAATAAGATCAAAAGGTTCAACACTCTTAGTAATACTAGATGGAAAAGACACACGATGATGCTTAGCAAATTCACAAACATCACAATGAAAAGACTCAACAGATTTAGACAAAAACAATGACGGAAATAAAGATTTGAGTAAACTAAATGGAGGATGACCTAAGAGCTTATGATGAAGCCAAATCAAAGAATCAGCAGTTGATTGACCATGAGACATCAAGATGTGATTTGTTACTTTATTTGCAGGAGATTGTGACACCAGATAGTACAACCCACCTTGCTCTTTAGCACTACCAATCGTCTTCCCCGTGGCGAGATCCTGAAAAACACAATGGGTAGGATAGAAGGTTACAGTACAATTCAAATCTTTTGTAATTTTATGAATAGAAAGAAGATTCGTGGAGAGTATAGGAACATGAAGAACATCCTTAAAATGTAAGGACTGCTGTAAGTTTATGTCACCAGATCCC